ACATGATCGCCTCAAGAGACGCCTCTAGAGCTCCGGACAACTCCCGAGAGCGCCCCATACCATCCCACACCACACCATCACGCGACTAGGATATATCAGCCAGCCAGCCAGCCAGGTCCAGGTCCAGGTCCATTCGTCCGGCCACTCGCCCCAGGCCCTCTTACACCCTAATCCTTGGGCAGGTTTGCTGGACGTACACGTCTGCCGTACTCTTTAGGATGCAGTGCAAGCCTAACCCCAACAGCCACGGCTTCCGAGGAAAAAATAGAAGACGAACCACCACCACCACCACTACTACTACTACCATTACTACTACCATTACTACTACCACTACCTGGCGAAATAAGCGCTTCGTCGATGAGAGGAAAGGACAAGGAGAGAATCTTCAGCGATTTCCATGGGCTCAATTTCCGCACATGCGGCATCACCATCACCATCATCATTGTCATCACCGGTATCCATAGAGGATATACAGCCTTCGTGTCGTAAATGAAAAGAAACAACTAATCGAATGCTTGCTCACCACGACGCATGTCGCAAAGGCGGCATCATGCAAAGGGATGGTCCACCACATTGGTGGTCCGCGGCGCTCTCCTCAGCCGCATATCCGCATGCCGCCAACCCAGCCCAACCCTGGGTGCTTCAAACCACCCACCCATTACACCGCACCACCCAGCTGACCTGGGCATCGCAACACACGTCTATTCAAGCAAACGCCCCACCCTTGCTGTGTGTAGCACATCATCCTCCTAATCCACTGCCACCCCATATACAGCGTGGCTGAGACGCGGCCGTCTGGTGCACGGAGGGCACCACCGCCAGCCAGCCAGCAATCCTCAGGCGCGCTGCGGACTGGGCTGCCGTCATAAGGATGACACCCATGAAAAAGAAAGCCCCAAAGATAAGAAATCCACCAACAAAGAGGGAACCGTCCCGTAATGACATTTATTTCTAGCGATTACAACCGTTGGCAAGCCGCCAAACTTGCCGAAGTCCATCTTTCCAGTGGCCACCGCCAAGGTCATCATCCAGCTCGTCGTGCCGGTCCGCAGCCCAGCCTGGGTGCCATGGTCATGGTCATGGTCATGGTTTCAGCACGATGCCCAGTAAAGAATGAGGGAGGAGGCGCTGGTAGCCGATTGCCGCCCCAAGCAGGTCGCCATCGACGTACCCCTCCTCCTCAGCAAACCCAGCCCGTACGGCAGCTCAAGGTGACAATGGGCTTCCCCCCATACACACACAACCCAGGAGGAGCTCCCCCCCTCCCCCTCCCCCCCCCTCCCCGAGACACACACCCTAGCTACACGACGGGATCCCCCGGGTAGCAGCCAGACACCACCTCGAAACTGCCCGGCGGATCGAAGACCTGCGGGCACTCGCGGCGACGGCAGGGAGGGCAAACAGGTAAAAGGGAGCCAAGTCAGTCGTGGGGACGGGTGCGGTGTACGGGACCCGCCTCCCCCCAAGTCAAGTGCAGAGCCCCTGGCTTCCCCCAACCTATTCCCCACATGCGCCCCCGTGGTTCGGCGGCGCACTCGAGGCAGCGCAGCGGCACGCACACTGCCACCCTAAGACCAGGAACACCGCGGGCCTCCCCCGACCGCCACCCTAGCACCAATACCCCGGAGGCCACCAGACCCACCTCAAGCTCCACTTCGTCCCCCACACGCATCTTCTGCGCCACCACTGCACGCCGCGACCCGGGTAGACCCACGGGCCACGATGCCGCCTGGCGCTGAACCCGGTAGTAGGTACAGTTGCGCTCGGGCGGCTCGTAAGGTGGAGTGAGCAGGTCTAGTACGGCACATGGCGTCTCAGCCGTGAATTCGTGTAGGTTGCCGCCTGGCGGGGCAAAGAGGAGCAGCGGCGGACTTAACAACACCGACTGTTAGAAGCGGCTGACCGCACGATAAGAACAAGGTAGCAAAAAGAGATGAGACCGCACACACAAATGTATGTATGTATGTATGTATGTATGTATGTATGTTAGGAGGGGGGAAAATGTCGTTTCCTGCGCGTATCACGGGATTCTGACATCGGCCGATCGGTGCATTTTCTGTAGTGCCGTGATACAAAAGTAAATAATAATATACACAAAATATAATATCATTATAGATACGCAGACAGTGTTCAGGTGGCGGGACACAGGTGGGTCGCAAAGAGTCCCGCTGTAACCCACGGGCCCGGCAGCCCCCCAGTAGTATTGCTGGGGACGCGGCCGTGGCGGTGGCGGCGGTTGGGGCGCTAGGTCCGGCTCCGCCCGATGTCCTCCCCCCCCAAGCTCTCACAGGACACCATGTGCCATATGGTGCGGTGGATGACTTGCCGCGCAGGGACAGGCTGGGGCAAGGTCGGCAGTACACAGGCTGGGGCTACTTGCACCCCGGCCCACATCACGCTAGGAGGGCGGCCCCCCCCCCGTGCCACCCAATATCACGACGGTCGCCTGACACCTGCGCACCCCCCTCCAACATAACAGCGCCATATGCAGCCAAAGCTCCGACATGCTACTCCGCCACTACCCACCCTTAGCGAAACATGGTGTGCCCTCTACCCCTCCCTTCATCCGCCCAGGTAGTGGACGCCCCCCGCCCCGCACAGCCCCGCCGGCTAGCCCACTGTCCTTGGCTGAAAGCCCCCTGCCCCCTCCTCCTCCCCGTTGTGGAGGTGCCTTTGCTCCCTGCACCAGGCCTAACCCCCGGGTCCACCAGGGCTGAAGCACAGGGACTCCACCGCTGCAACAGAGCTGATCCATCACCTCATGCGACCCCACCTCACCCGGCCTGAAGCAACCCGGCCTGCCGACATGAAGCTGCACAAGACAGTTCAAGATACCCCCACACTGGCAGTATCACTGGCTGCCACCCAGCCCGCACTCCTCCCCTGGACCGCTTGCCTTTCGACACACTACCCCCCCCCCCCCACACACACACACGCACACACACACACCTCAGGCGGCCCCTGCGCGACCCCCACGTCGTGGCACACACCCCCTCCAACTCCCCGCGGCCAGACACGCCGTACCGCCACCGCGTACCTAGCGGCGAAGCTGACGCACCTGACGACGGGAACAGCACCAGCGGCGGGGTCGCGGGCCCTATGACCGCGTCGCATACGAGCCGGGCGCGCGCCGAGCCGGACGTGATGGGCGCCGCCGGCTGCACCACCCAGTCGTATGCGCTCACCCGCAACTGCCCAAACAACAGCCTGAGGGGCGGGGGGAGGAGGAGGCCAGCAGGAGCAGGCAGGTGCGGAGGGCATGAGGGCCGCGGGAGCAGCAGCGGGTCGCACGACCAAGTGAGTGTGTGTGTGTGTGCGGGGGGGGGGAGACGGTGTTCTGTTTCAATACGGAGTCCGGATGTGGGCGTTACTTCATTGGGTGGTTAGCCTGGGAGTTGGTTTGATACGCCACCGACCCACGAGCCGCTCGTTGGAATGTGCACATGTCACAGATTGGCCCCCACCGCCTCCCCCGGGTGCTGCTATGCTCAGGGCGGGTGAGGTGGGGCCGGGGGTAGCCCCCGGCGTCCGGGTAACTGATTGCACCGGGTTGCGCTGCGGCTTGGGTTCGCGCTGTGCCCGTCTTGGTGTGGGGTGTGGTGGTGTGCGGTTTGGTTGCACCAGGGGCTCAAGAGATGCACCCCTCGCTCCCCTCCCTGCCTGTCCCGATCATTACACCCAAGCATCAAGTCAGATGATCGTCTCAACACCTCTCCCCAGGTCAGCTCCGTATGTACGTACATATACTCGTACATACATATATTCGTACATACATATACTCGTACATACATATACTCGTACATACATATACTCGTACATACATATACTCGTACATATATACGTACATACATACGTACCTACCCACCTACCTGGAGAATACTGTCATACCGGGGTGGTTGTGGAGGGGGATGACGGTCCCGGCAGGGAAACAAAAGAGCCCGAACGTGAGGCTGGGGTCCTCGTAGATTCGCATGTACTTGATGCGGCTGCGGGGTGAAGGGATCGAACCAGGTGGGTGCCGGTGGGTGCTGGAGGAAAGAGGGGTGACATCACGTGCAAGCAGCAAAGGTGCAGGCGGCCCCGGTGGCACACACAGTCAGCGCCCCCGGCCTCCGGGCCATTACCGGGTGCGGGGGGGCACCCTCCGGGCTGCGACCGCCAGCGGCCCTGATGCGGCCAGCCGCACCTCCCCCTCCCCCCTCCGCGCTGAGAGAGAGAGAGAGAGGCCCGGTACCCCGCGTGTTCACCTACACAAAACACAACTTCAGACGGGGAATCGCAACCGGGAAAGGTTCTTTCTGCAGCTGTCTGGCGGTGATACGTCCGCGGTACCTCGGGACGCGGCTCCGGTTCCGATACGCCGCTTGAAAGGGCAGTTTGCGAAGGGTTGATGTCCCCACGGGTGTCAAACGGGTGCCCCCTAATAGCTCCCGAAGTCCGCACTGGGCTTCCGCTGGAGGGCCTGGACAGCTCAGCCCAGCTCAGCCCAGCTCAGCTCCAGGCCAAGATCCCGATTCGGGAACGTCTCGCTGGTCCAAGCTGCCCATGCCTTTTTATGCCAACACTGTCCACCGCAGTCTCTCATTCGTTTGGTTTTATGTAGGGGTCCTGCTGGTCACCTGCCACTCCCCAGCAGCCCCCGTCCTCCACCCCCCCACACCACTGAGCTCACGCAGTCGGCCAGGTTCCGCAGCAAGCAGATAGGGGGGAGGGACGGGTTACTGAATCCCAGTAAGAAAGACGTTAAACGAACCCCAACCGCCCCCCTCCGTAGCTCAGGTCCCCCCAAGGCCCCCAAGGCCCGCCCGGCTGCTCACCTGTCCCGCAGGTGCAGTTTGAGCGCCCCCAGGAAGGGGTCCGCAACCATGTCGGAGTCCAGCCCCAGCTCCTCCAAGCGGATGGCGCCTGAGGGTGGTCGTGGAGGTGGTCGTGGAGGCGATGACCGCAGAGGCGGATAGAGAGAGACGGGAGAGACGGGAGAGAACGTTAGCAGAGTTAATAAGCGGCCGGGCGAAGATCTCGTCAAGAAACCCTTCCAGCATTTCCGCGACATGGCCACAACAGGCGGGGGAAAGGAAATAATTAGCTGTTAGGAAGCTGGAAGGCCGTGAGTCACACACACATACACACAGGGCTCTGGTCTACATGTGACATGCCGCCAACGCATGTCCGGTCCCAAACGATGAGCGGTCACATTTTCTCGTGTACTCGTACAGCGACAGCTCACCCATCATGTTTGCCAGCTGTGCCACGGTATCCGGATTGGACTCGTTCACGGTGCCGTGCAGCACAGCGCGCCGCGCGGCAGTGAAAAAGTCCTGCAGCCTCGATCCGCTCGTTTGTTGACTGTTGGCTGTCTGGCTCCCGGCCACTGCACTCTGGGAGTGCATGCTGACATGCTGGCGAAGGGAGCCTCCTGCCGTGTACGTGGTGTTAGTTGCGCCGGAGCACCCTCGCAACCGCAACACTGAGTTCGTCAAACGGAGCGGGAGGGGCTGAGCGAGTGGCAGCATGTGTCCAGTGTGGCTGGATTGTTTATTGGGTTGAAAAAAGCAGCGCAAGGGAGAAACCCGCTCGCTCCTGTAACAAAAGGGGTGCAGCTGGTGGGGCCCCAAGTCAAGTGGCTGCCTGTGGGACCCTAGGAATGTGTCATAAGGATTAAACCATTGTTGGAGAGACGGAACATGTTGAGGAGTCAAGCCCGTAAGGCCGGCTGCTCCGAGACGACTAGCCAAGCCCAATGAACTATTCGTAAAGGTACAATATGATTATGACAGCAACGCCTACCGGTACAGATTACAAGCTTGTGCTGTGGGCGGCATGTTTGGTGTACACAAATGCCGACAGGTGCCTTGTGGGCCTTGCGTGTTAAGAATGTACCATTCCTTGTATTGTTTACCACACTTATACATCGACATAAATATCTGGAAAAATGGCTTCATAGGCTGTTAACTCATCTGTCAAGACTATCTTTGCGTTGTTATACCTCTGGCCGGGAACCTTGCACATAACGCCCGCGCTTTCTCCCAGCTGCTGCCACACATACCTGCATCATGGCCGACCTGACGGCCGAGCTGTCAGTTTTATTGGAGAAATTTACTGCCACTCAAATGGTGCTGGCAGGCAGCGCTATACTATTCCTGGCCCTCATCATAGGGCGCGTACTGTTCAATAATCTTCCGGGCAAGCGCCCGCCCGTATATGAGGGCATTCCGTTTGTTGGTGGTCTGTTGAAGTTTTCACAGGTAGGTCATGGCTTGAACTCGTCGCTAATGGCCGTCGGGTTCTGATCGCCGCGGCCCGCGCGCCATCATGGACGGCGGTCGCAGGGCCCATGGAAGCTGCTGCATGATGGATATGCCAAGTTCGGCGAGGTGTTTACCGTACCTGTGGCGCACAAGCGTGTTACTTTCCTGATCGGCCCGGATGTGTCGCCTCATTTCTTCAAGGCGGGCGACGATGAGATGAGCCAGTCAGAGGTATGCCACCGTTCACACATGAAACGCTCGTGAGATGGATACCCTTAACACACTCAGGGAATTAGTACAGACTTAACAAACACATGCTTTGCTTGCCTTGCGTCAATGTACCGCTCAGGTGTACGACTTCAACGTTCCCACCTTCGGCCCAGGCGTTGTGTTTGATGTCGAGCAGAAAGTCCGGACCGAACAGTTCCGCATGTTCACGGAGGCACTCACTAAGAACCGCCTCAAGGCGTATGTGCCCCAGTTCAACAGGGAAGCCGAGGTAGGAGCTCTTGCTGGGGGACGCGCCTCTGCTCATACACAAGCTTATACACCTCATTGATAGCATCTTATTTGCTAAGACAACAACGTATAAGACAGGGTTTTCCCCACACTTAAGTGCAATTGGTTGGCTTGTTGGGGACTTAGTAACATTACTTCAGCACATACCATCAATGTCTATCGGGTGGGGTTAAGCGGCCGGCAGCTGCTCCTTTAACAGATAGGGAGTGGAAGCCCATGAAAATCTCGCATCCATCGCAGCGAAAGGGGCACGTCCACCGTCCTCCCCGAGACCGATAGCCCAATAGCTTGTCAGCCTACGGGCGTCCTGAGCTCCATGGGCCGCCACCGCAGGAGTACTTTGCCAAGTGGGGTGATGAGGGCGTCATCGATTTCCGTGACGAGTTCAGCAAGCTGATTACACTGACCGCTGCGAGAACTCTGCTCGGTAGGTGCTCGCTCCTTGTCAAGGAAGCGCATGGCCTCCTTGCTTCGCCAGTCCCTGCGCTACCCTTCGATAGGCACGAGTCGTGAGACCCGGAAAGAAAGGATGTGAAGGACGGGACGGGGCTTTCTAACGAGTCTCTAGCGCTGCGCATGACGAGGAACCGCATCCAATAGGATGCATATGCCCTTAAGAAAGGGCTCACAAGCTCATACCAACCACGTCGCCTCCTTCGTAGATGCGGATGACGAAAGCTGGATCCAATGTACGCTGGGTAACTGCTAGGTAGCGTGTGTAGTTGCTAGGCAAGGCGTAACAGGATCGTGCCTTTTTGTCTGTGCGTTGGCTGTGCTGGGGTTTTGCTGTACCCATGTTTTTATGCCGCCGCTGCTGTCTGCTTCCCCCCCCCCTCCGTGCGCCTCCTTGTGCCAGGCCGCGAGGTTCGCGAGCAGCTCTTTGAGCAAGTGGCCGACCTGCTGCATGGCCTGGATGAGGGCATGGTCCCCATCTCTGTGTTCTTCCCCTACCTGCCCATCCCAGTGCACCAGAAGCGCGACAGGTATGGCAGACCGTCTTCGTAGGTCCTGAAAAGGAAAAAACGAGACCGTACACACCGGATAGCGTACTTCTAGCAGGCAAATGGATTGCATGTGAATGTGACGGCCCTAAGGCCCTTCACTGTGTGTCCCCTTGCACGAGGGTACGCCAGCAGCGGGCGAAGATATGCGGGATTATGACTGTTACTCGTTGTATGCGTTGTAGCAAGCGGTGGTAGTGGTGGTGTTGGTAGCCTACCTACGAGGAAACGCCTCTGTCCAGGTGCCGCAAGGAGCTGTCCAAGATCTTTGGCAAGGTTATTCGCCAGCGTCGGGAGTCCGGACACCGCGAGGAGGACGTGCTTCAGCAGTTCGTTGACGCCAGGTGGGTAAGGCGGAGCAGGGCCCCATTGAATGCATGTGATGTCGGGAGTGGTTGAATTCATTGCGGCGTGCTGTGCACCAGCGACGAGAGAAGGCTGCCAAGGGCATTTCATGGTTCCTCCACTCCTCAGTAGTGACATCCGGTACCCTCGGAGTGAATGTGGTGTTGGCGCTGCAATGTTTCATTGCTGGTTGCAGGTACCAGAACGTGAATGGCGGCCGCGCGCTAACGGAGGAGGAGATTACCGGCCTGCTTATCGCGGTGCTGTTCGCCGGCCAGCACACCAGCTCCATCACTACATCATGGACCGGCATCTTCATGGCCGCGAACAAGGTGCGTGGCTTGCTGGTACATGACCAAGCCAAGAGCTGCGTGTTAATCGTGCTGGGAGAAACACACAGCCGCACACCATCAGTAGGAATATCACCGATATGTTATTCATGTTTCCTGCACATTGCCTCTTCAAGGATGTGTGTGCTGATTCCCCCAATCTTTAGGAGAAGGCATGGCTGCCGGCGGTGGAGGAGCAGAAGGCCATTGTGGCCAAGCACGGCACGGACTTGAGCTTCGAAGCGCTCTCCGAGATGGAGGTGCTGCACCGCAACATAACCGAGGCGCTGCGCATGCACCCGCCGCTGCTGCTGGTCATGCGCTACGCTAAGAAGCCCTTCTCCGTCACCACCAGCGACGGGAAGACCTTTGTCGTCCCGAAGGTGAGTGTGGAGCATCCTTGGCAGCTTTGCCATGTGTCGGCTGGCAGTTACAACATTCCATGGTCTCATAACGCCTATTGTGTCAAACCTTTCAGGGCGACGTCGTGGCGGCCTCGCCGAATTTTTCGCACATGCTGCCACAAATCTTCAAGAACCCGAAGGCGTATGACCCGGATCGGTTCGCTCCCCCCCGCGAGGAGCAGAATCGGCCTTACTCGTTCATCGGCTTCGGCGCTGGCCGCCACGCCTGCATTGGTCAGAATTTCGCGTACCTGCAGATTAAGTCGATCTGGTCGGTGCTGCTTCGCAACTTCGAGTTTGAGCTTCTGGATCCGGTCCCAGACGCAGACTATGAGTCAATGGTGATTGGCCCCAAGGCCTGCCGTGTCAAGTACACGCGCCGGAAGCTGCTGTGAACAGCATGCATGGGTTGTTCGAATAGCTGGGTTTCAAGGGTGGCTTCGGATATGCTTTCAGAGCAAGTGGACAGGTGTGGGCCTTCTGCCATGTGTCCTGATGGCAGGTTGTGCTATGGCCACCTCTTAAAAAGGGAGTCTTGGCGCCATCCAGTTGGGGAGCTGGGGTAATGTTTTTGATATTTACAGGCCTGGTGCATCTCGGTCTTAAGATCGTACCTGGTGTACCCTTTCTCAATTGGCTGTGGACGTGCGTTTCGTTGCGCACACTGCTGCGTGCGAATAATTCGTTTTGCATTATTGCAGTGCTGCTGAGTTTTCCTGCCCTAGCCCGAGTTTTTTCTCATCAGACCGAAGGCGTGCTGAAATTGTGTATTGACCCTAATGACCCTAATGACCAGACTTTGACAAGTAGAATGTGGCTATGTTGTCTGGTTGATGGATTAAGACAAGTATCAAGGCAAGCTCCGACGGTGTAGTGGCGCTTTTAAGTGCACTCGCGAGCGCTTGGAAAATGAGTTGTCCCAAGGTAGCACCGGTTTTGCAAGGGCGCAGTTGCCAGTTGCGAGGAAGAATTCGAAAGCCGTAAACGGATCGGCGGTTGTTGGTGAGTAATTTACTAACTTGGAACCCGGGTTCATGCTATTGTGCTGTTTTAGGTACTGGAGGACGTTTGGCAGCCGGTTGTGACGGTCGACCCATTCAGATGCCGGCTGCACGCGTAATATATGTCAGGCCTTGCTAAGGGATTGTGTGACCACATCCTCATCGCGTCAGACGGATTTCGGTCGACTATGAAGCGCATCGTTTGTATTTCGAAAAAAGCTCTTGTATCTTCCCTGCCCTAATGGATATCCCATAGGAAACTATACCACTGTCCTCCAATTTATCGTGCCCACTTACCAGCATAAGCAAGATGTATCGCTTCATGTGGACAGAGGTTCAGGTTGTGGTTGCAGCTGCGGTTGCTGCTGTTGTGGCTGCGGGAGTTGTAACCGCTGGCTGCGAGTGCGTACTGTGGTGCTGAATGCTGAGGTCGTGGATCCAGAAGCCCAGGAGACGGCTAGGTTTTGCCGGTTGGTTCGGGTTGCCAGGCAAAGATGTTTAAAGCGGCAGGGTCCGAGGCATACTTGCCTACGCCATTCCAGGATTTGGAGACAGGGCGATGACGCACAGCTTTGCTTCAATACCTTGTGGGGCGTGCGAAGGTGCTGGGGTCAAGGCGCTGAGGTTGGGATGGGTGGGCAGTGTCGAGCCCCAGGCGGACTATGGTCCTCTGGATGATGTGCGGCTGTCATCTGGTCCTCTGGTGGCTCTGGTCCTCAGAGGTCCACTGTATGGTGTGCGGACTGTCAGGTAAACATTTTCTCACGAGACGTTATACAGAAGAGAGCGGCCAACACTGCGGAGGCGACATTGTCAGACCAGATGCATACGGCCGAACGAGGCCAGCCCTGCACCCGTGGGTGCCACCGAGCCGGGCCTCAGGGGATAAGTTTGTAGTCTAGTCAGCCTCTAGGGAAGCTGGTGATCAAGGCTGGACAAACGCACGAAGGACTTCTGAAAGCAACCAGGGCCAGGACCATACGGTGGGCAGTTTGGGACGAAAGATACAGGCAGTGACTAAAACGAGCACTGGGCAGTGGCAGCGAGGGCCAACGGCACCAAGACTTGCACCTGGCAGGCTGAGGAGCAATGGGGGTTAATAAACGTACTGGCTGAACGTCCTCTCCCAATTCAATCGCACATGCTAACATCCCACCACAAACTGGAATCTGTGGCAGTTGAGCTTTGTGCCCGTGCATGGAGGGCCGTGGTATGCGCACAAGTCGCCGCCACTAGTCAGTTTTTTTCCTTTTCTCCGTGGCTTTTAGGCGTTGTAGTATTGCCCTTGGGCCTTCGGCTCGTATGGGTAGTCTTACAGGTATGGGGTCACGCACCCCCCAACCATGTAACACACACACACTAGTCACGTACCACCAGGCGACACACTTCCACAGCCGCATTGTGCAGTGAAATCCTCGCCCTCCAGGTTCATTGGTGGCTCCACCAAAGCAGTGTACAGATAGAGGGGAAATCGGCAGTGCCCAGGACGTGGATAAACGTATGGCCGTGGCCTGACCTGGGCTTCGCAGTTATCACTGCATTCAAGGCGCCTCGATGGACAGGTTCCACGTCAGCACGCCCAGCAGTGAAAATTCCTGCCGTGAAAAAGGGTTATCGCTTGAGCCACAAGGACCCACGATGATAGCCGTCCGCAATGGCAGGAATGATTAGGCTGGAAGGGCTTGTGATTGGCCTGGACGAAGTTGGAAACGCCAGGGTCTGGATACACCGGCTGTAAGAGCCTGGCTCAGGACTAATAGATATTTCCGAGTAGGGACTCCATTCCTTATTATCATTTCATTGTCGAGGCGAATATCGTACATGCAGTACATAGAACTATCTTAGTCATCTTTGCGGCTATAACCGTACTCAGCAGTACATGGCCACGGGTATGGCTGTAACGATCCTGTACACATACTCGATTCCGTACGCCATCTTGTACACGTCTGCCCGTTCACGGCCAGACCGGTATCGTAACTCTTCTCCCTAAGGTGCGATTCTCTTATGCAGGAATATCTACTATTGTACGGCATCTCATCCGAGCGCCTCAGAGGGACTGCAAGCGACTGTAAGGGAAACCCCCGGTGTTTATCAACACCTTCATAAGTGGACTAGTCGCCTATCCGTCTAAGTGACCAGGTAGGCTCTCACATTGGTGCAAATTGCTAGGAGGTGGGAACTCCCCGGACCGAATCCGGTTACGAACATAGCGCACTCCAGGCACGATGCAGCATACTCCTATCCCAAAGGTGGATGCCCGGGTGGGCGAGAAGTCTACCAGCTGAGTAAATATAAAGGCCTCCATCTCGGACGGAGACTAACGAAAATGTTTCAACAAATTTGTAACTCTACGGGATTCCAAACAACCATAATCCTACGGGATATATCCGGGGGCGCCCGAGGACGTTAGCTCGAGGGGGGAAAGGAATGTAAGAAGGGTTCAGCTCCCTTGGCATCTCCCTGAGTACTCTTTGCCTGGTCTTACACCGGCCGCCGCTGCTGCCATAATGCTACTAATGCGTCATTTGGTAACTGGCAGGCGCCATGCGGCGTGGTGTTCCCTAAAGCTACATAACCACCGTAACCCCAGCAGGGCTTCGTTTCCCGGCGGCTGCGCTCTATGTCTCTCGATGACACGGACATGGAAAATGATGTCGGCTTAGGCACATTGAGCTACGCCATTCGCACGCTGCCATCTTACATGATAACACAGATATCAGTGCAGTGTGCGTACTTGCGGAGGGCTAACTGTAAGTGTTTAAGTATTTAAGTCTGCACGCGTACAGGTGGAGGGCTAGCATTGTATTGTCTCGTCAATGTGGGCTCCGAGGCATTATTAGCTGGGCTGCAACCCGACGTGCCATCGGTATGAATGAACGCCACTTCCTCCAGACATCCTTGCGGTTCATACTTCATAGCGAACCTTTCAAAATCCATGCGATAGCGCATAGGAGCATTTGCATGCAATACCTTCGGCACGTTCAGTGTCCATGCCCAGAGACGTCCCCACATAGCGAAGGTTAAGTGCCACCGGTTCAAATTAAATGTGTGGGGTTGCTCGTGCCCTGGTGCATCAAGGGCAGATTGTCGCCCAAGCCTCAACACGAAACACATCATACCCACTCCCATACCACAAACCACACCTGCCGTGTATTAAAGGTATGTCAAACAAGATTTGTCCAGATGTAAGCCCATGAGTAGGTGGCAGACTTTGGCGACCTGAACGAGGGAAACTAGCTAAGTGAACCATCCAGGTTCCTGTACACGTGTCAGCCCTTCGATGTGAGGTGACAGTGGCAAGGAAATACACGTAAAGTTATCATCAGACCCAGACATAATTCAATAAAATAGAGTCAAAGTTCATGGACTCTTACTGCAGGCTATCCTGTGTGTGCTTTAAAAAATGCCTACTGCCTAAACGCCTTAGGGTACTGTCATAACTTCACTGTTATCATATGCCAACACGAGACAACATCAGAGAGCTCGAAACATCAAATATTGGAAACTGTCCTGTAGTACCATGTACGGATTTATTTGGCGCGTTTTCAGGTGCCAAAGCGCAAAGCGATACTAATGTAATGTTGGAGGATAAGTAAACGATTGGCACATACGAGCGCGCCCATTGTGGCGCTGGTGCTAGTTCTTCTCAGGCTTTGCGCCCAGGAATACTGAGCAACAACTACAGCTAACGTTCAAGAATCACGTATCTATCGGCAGCAAAAGCTGCGGTTTCGATCTGTCGTTCTGAACCTTGCGTCTGAGCGATCTAACCAAGATGGCGCAGCCACCAAGCCCCACCTGGGTGCGTTCTTTCACTTTAGACTCGAATAAAGTCAGCACCTTGGCCATGCGAAGTGTGGCTCCCTGCTGGCCTACCTAGACGACCCCTCTCTTCGGGAGGCGCCGCCCCGCGGACTGAGTCGACCCGGCTCCTACGTGCAGGTTGGCGAACAATTTATCAGCAAGTACTATGACGTTTTGGCGAAGCTGCCCAAGCATCTGCACCGGTTCTACAAGGAGAACAGTACCCTCAGTGTCGCAGATGTGCAGGCCGATGGGCACGCTGTTGTTGGGACTGCAAGCGGCACCCTGGAGGTGCGTTTTCCTGTGAAATAGTGTCATAGATTATAACATGTATCGCTAAGGTTTTTTGTATCGCAGGATATCCAAGAGAAGGTGATGAGCACCATTGCGAACGCGGTGGTTGCGAGCGACATGTCCCTGGATGCCCAGTTCTCGCAGGGAAACGGGGTTTTGTTGCAGGTGTCGGGAACCATGAATCTGCAGGTACGCGGTCCGGTGGGCAGAGCTTTTCTGACCGCGGGAATCTGACTTTGAATCCTGTTTTCTGGGCGGCGTGCAGGGTGTGGACAGGAAATTTGTCCAGGTCTTCTTTTTGGCGACTCAGGAAAAGGGCTACTACGTCCTGAACGACATGCTGCGTATCTTTCCTCCGGAGCCCGCGCGTGACATTCGTCCCGTGGAGAACGGTTTCGTCGTTCCCTCTGCCATCCCAGCGCATGCGTATAGCCTCGCGCCACCACAGGTGCGAGAAGAGATTGTTGTCCGTAATCTGGGCCCCTGGTTTGCGGGCCTGTGGCTGACGGTTCTGTTCCTATGCCCGTGCAGCTCACGGGGCAGCTGCAACCACGGGTCGACCTAGCTGCAGGCACGCCTGCAGTGGTTGCAACCCCACCTGCCGTGGCTGTGGAGCCCCTACCTGCGGACGCTGAAAGCTTGGTGCCGGAAATTCCCGCTGCTACACCAGCCACTGCAACAGTGCTGGCAACGACTCCGTTGCCAGTGCCGGTGCCAGCTCCCGCTCCGGTTCCTGCAGCAACGGCGCCAGCGGGCCCCCCGGCGGCACCGGCCTCTCCTCCGCTAGCGTTGCCAGCAGCAACGGCTCAGCCGGTGCCCCCGGTGCCCATGATACCGAAACAGGCGGCCCCACAGCAAGGAGCACCGGCTGCTGCCCCGGGTACTTCTGTTCCGGCACCCTCACCCAACCTGAGCTGGGCTGAACGTGCCAAGTTGGCATCGTCCGCACTGTCGGCACCAGCCTCGGCCTCTAAGCCAGTCACGCCTGCCAAGGTCCCCGCTCAGGCAACGCCAGTGCCGGCCCCCGAAGCGCCTCCAGGGGAGGGGACGGTGTTGCCGCCGGCGACCCAGGCAGTTACTGAAAGCGATGCTGATGCGCCGGCTGAGGCCCAGAGTGATGTAGACCTGGATAACCGGGCCCCAATTGTGCTGGAGCCGGTGCCAGCAGGTGCAGGCGACAACCCGGGTTTCGGCGTTTACGTGCAGGGCATCCCTCAGACGGGTGACTTGCAGAAGCTTCTGAGCGATGAGTTTTCGCAGTTTGGATCCTTTGGCTCCGGTGGTGTCAACGTCGTCCGCTCGCCACGCTTTGGGATGGTCGCGTACATTTTCTACCTGGAAGAGAAGTCGCGTAACGCTGCGCGGGAGGCCAGCGGGAAGCTCAGGCTGCCAGACAGCGATAAACCGGTTAAGATCCTGGGCGTGCTGCCGGAGTTCGAGCGGGGCTTCGCGCCACGAGGTGGCAGCCGCGGCGAGCGGGGCCGTGGCAGCGGCATGGGCGGTGGCTACCGTGGCGGCCGTGGTAAGTTGAAAGACGAAGGACGGTATTGATTGGTGCAAAATGGGCGCTAGCGTGCGTCACATGCGTATGTTCCATGGCCAAGTTGCAGATTGGAGTAATGAAACTGCGTAACCGCCAACTATAGCGGATTTGGCTGTTGCAACGCATAATACAACAACACAGTAGTGTGATAGTAGGCTTCAAACATATCGACATACCTTTCTTTACATGGCCAGTAGTCTATATGCTATAGCACATAAATGTCGTGTCCGTGCAGGGGGCTACGACGGCAGCCGGGGACGCGGCGGTCGCGGTGAGGGTGCCAGGGGCGACCGGCCGCTCAGTGGCCGGGGAGGGCGTGGTGGTGACCGCGGTGGGCGAGGTGGCGGTGCTGGGCGTGGCCCGCGCGATTTGAGCAGCGGACCGGCAGTTCAAAAGCAGGCAACTGTTTAGTCGCCGAAGTAGGAGGCATGCAAATGGGGCTTGGGGGTAATGGTCAATGTCTGCCTAGATTGCAGGAGGGGACAGAAGGGTACAGCGACATCTATTTCGTATGCACTGTCCTGATGATGCGTCCTGCTGAGTATATTTGTCTGCTTTCATTTTGGAAGCACGAAGGGATCCATGTTAGACATGCAGATTCAACCTCTGGTAAAGCTTGAGCATCATTCGTAATTAGGGATGGTGTGTGTTCCCCGAGTGCGGTCGCAGGATTTATACGTGCAGCCAGGCGGGACGGGTGCTGGACTCGTGGAATAGTGACTAGCTGCTTCGTGTGATGGTTGTAGAGCTTAGCTGGATAATGGGTATGGGTGGTAGTTGGTCCGTGGGAAGGCAGGCGAGCGATTTGGATATCAAGAACAGCTAACTTGGTTGCACCTTTCGGTGCACTTCGGAACCGGACTCTATAGTTGCATTGTGCAAGGAGGGGCGGTCAAGGCGGCCATTGCTGATATTGCATGTGGCGCTGCAGTACTGAGCTCTCTGACTCCATGAAAAGTTTGGGCTAGCGGCTGGGCTAATCCCTTGTGGCGACTTCAATGACCGCAACGATGACGGGCGTTGACGGCATGGTATTTGTAGTGTGGAAGCCATTTTGGAGGCGCAAGAATGTGACGTGTGACATTGACGTGTGACAAAATTGCAGGCGACGGCAGGGATGCAAGTCTCATGAAGAGACCTACCAATTTTGACCGGCGCCACGTGCGCATTATTACACAGCATTGCTGGCCGAACGCCAGAGTGACAATTTGACATCGGATATTGCATTCGTATGGTGTGTATCGCGGGTCTGGACGCTTGGGACTACTGAGGCTCTTAGCATAACGCCTGCAGCCTTAGATTCAAACGCCATACATTGTGGAACTGCTACTATTGGAGGCAGGTGAAAATATTCATTCCTGTCGTCGCCTCAACAAAGGTTGTGTTTCTCGACAAGCTCTTCCAGCTGCTGCTGCCTAAGGAGAAGTGCAGTTGCCTCCAACCTGCAGCACAAAGGAAGATCCGGATAAGCTGTACCATCGACCCGTTTCAAAACCCTAATTATTTTCTTTCCTACAGTGCTGTCGTACGTGCGAATACACACTATGCAGCTTTTGTAGGCAATGAACACGTCGTGTGTCATCCAAATCAACCATGTCACCAACCTTAGCCGCTCGTTCTCCGCCTCGAGAACTGCAATAGCACCAGCGTCGTCCATCGCGTGTGTTCCTCCGCTCTTATGACCAAGCAGTCTTTCCACCTGTGACCGATGCGCATACACGTTTGTTTCAGGGGGACGCTGTTGTTCAGGCGTAAAAAATGCTTGAACACCAATGCAGGCCGGACGAAACACCGTTTGCTTAAACGAACCTCGAGGAATGCCTGTCGTGCGCGATCTGCCAGCTCGTCATCAGTTTCCGACCGTGCACCCAGCACGGCATCGGCACTAGATCCGCTCATCATAGCCGCTAGCTTCGCTTTCAATTCCGATACCTCCTGTCGCATGGCGCCGACCACAGCTGCCTGCAAGAAGCAAGAGGATACAGGTCACGTGTGCTCCGACAGGCAAGACACGTGCAGGGCCCAATGCAAACGCTGTTGCAGCCGCTTACCCGCGGCATAGGTTTGCCAGGCTCAAAAAGAGACGCAAGCTTAGCTTCTGCCATGATGATATCGTCTGTGAGCCTCGCTACCTCGGTTGCCAAGCCTTCGGTTGGGATAACCCCACCAACGGCTGCTTGACAACGCACCAACGGTGTGACGGATCGCATAAGCCGGGTTGACAATCCTATATGCAATATTAGGACACCACCAATAAGTAAGATTGTGGCGAGAACTTCCCCTTTGAAAGGAGGGACGTGGCAGCGATAATGATGTCAGGCTTGCAAAGGTGCGGGCAAATCCTAGCTAACCTGGAGGTGAGAAGGCCCTGCACCTATGATGAGGGCAATAGAAGCGAAGCGCGGCCATGTGAGTGTTCATGCAAGCTGCGCCTGAAGTCTGGCCCTTAATAAAGGTTTGCAACGAGTCCCTTCTAAGATGGAAACAGCTGAAAGTATGTAACTATAGAGATAACCATGGAAGAAATATTTCGTGAAGACCGTGAAAAACTTTATTGCGTACGAGGCAACTTTCTCGGCCTTCCATCAAGAACGCAACCACCTATCTGTTACCAGCTTCGTGAGACATCATGCCTCTAAGGTACAGAAACAGACATGTTACTTAATATGCAAGGGGAGCTAGCCTGTTTTGTAGGTTTGACAGAGGTAACTGTGGACAAAGACACACACCGAGGCTATGCGAAACGCGTTACTTGACGTTTCGTTGTTTGGATCCTGCCATCAGGGTTACCCTCACATCGACTGTGGACGCCGTGTGGGCCTGTACCGGGCTGCACTTCCTTGAACGACGCCCAGCCGCAGGCAATGGCTGAGACTTACCATACTCAAGCCTCACAGGCTATGGATTTCGGATTTGGTTACCCAGATGGCGGTGCTCTTGGTTTGACGTTTCAAGATTATGGGGTAACACAAGATGTGCACCCCGGCACGCTTCAGTTTAACGATTTCACACAGGTAGGTGTTTAAGTGGATGCCTGCCTTAACGCTTCTCTGTGCGGAATGCAGTTTTAGAGTGCACCCTTGCTTCGTTCTTTCCCAACCTTTTCACAGGGAGTCAGCCAGGCGCTCAGCTGGGGGGCCCCCGTTGGCATAGCGAGCACGGCGCAGCGGCTCGCACAGCAGGTGAACTCTGAGTCTCCCGCGCGGTCGTGCAGGTTCAATTGAGCCAGATACGTTTAACTTGGTCCTAACTCCCATGATGTCTTGAAGGCAGCAGCAAGCTGATGTCTAGTTAGGTAACCCGCCTGCGTCGTCTTAACGTCCCAAACCCAAATTCCTTATCAACCAGGCCCCCCAAACAAGCTTTGAGGCACAACTGGATGGGCTGGCAAGTGGCTTTCAACAGGTACAAGCAGCCACAGGCGCTGTTCGGGTTCTGGTGTCGGGGCTGGTGCTTGTTTGCTGTGTGGGGCTCCGGAGTCCTTGAGCTTGTGCAGCAATGTGAAGGTTACAGGGTGGCAGCCATATCCTGGCGGTTTCCCTTGCCACTGCAGCTACGGTTCCAAGAGGCCTTCGATGAGGCCGAGGAGGAGCCCACGGTGACGGTGCCCGAAAAGCCCCCCGAGTGGGCCTGCGCGTAAGTGGTGCCACCTGATGAGCTTTTGAGCTTCGGGTGTAATTTGCGGCCAGGCATAGTCAGGGCCATCGTAGACTTGCTCACTCGGTTTTGAGAGGTAGGGCGAGAAGGTTCAGCTGTGGTTGCATGCTAGGAGACATGCTGCCGCGTGTTGGGGCCATGCGTGTCAGGAAATCGCATCGGGCTTTGTGCTGCCGCTGCTGGCGGCCACAATATGTAGCGTCGGGTCAGATGCTGCACAACCGCCAGAGCAGATGGGGGCTGTTCGTGCTGAAAGCGTTCGCTGCGCCGTGTCCAATGGCGATTGAAAATTTATATAAACCCCCTTCCGAACCTGCTGGTCCCCGCAACTCCCGCCCAGGTACTGTGGGATTCACAATCCGGCATGCGTGGTCAAGTGCTTAAGTACCAACAAATGGTTCTGCAATGGTCGTGTCCACGGCTCAGGCTCGTGTATCATCTTGCACCTGGTGGGGTAGTAGTGTCGTGGGCTGCAGATGCGGTTGGGGAAGGGATCCAGGAAGGGCCTCCTCTAGCAGCACAAGGGGGTGGGGAAGGACGATGTTGTGATGTGCGGAGTGTTGATCCGTACAATATAACCCGTTGAAACAGACATTGCTTCCTGTGGGCCTGTGGGCCACGAGAAGGATTAACCAGGCCGAAGAACACACGGGGTTGGGAGGCTACCTGCCTGCCTGCCGTCCTTCTGCCAACTTAGGCAGCGGCACTGGGAAAGGCCTTTGCGCATGGCTCCACACAAGGGCTATCCTGGTTGATTGTTAACAGAAGTGTGTGGCCCTTCTTGAATCATCTTACGACTGAGTGACCCGTTCTGCAGTGACCGCAGCACTTCCCCTTCTGAAGAGGGTGCCCCGACCAGCAAAGGATCTCAACTTGTTACCGACTCTAGGTCTTAGCACCCCGTTGTAATCCCCAAGGCTGCATACGAACAGCTAGGCATGAACAGCTAGGCTACCTCTCGCTCGCACCAGGATTAGAGCGGGGCACATATTAAGGACCATGTGTACGTGCGTGCGCAGACCGTTGTTCATGCCCACTAGTCCTTTTAACTCATCTTGCACCAGCACCTCCTATGCGCTTGCTGCGCATGCAGTCTGCATTGGGCGTGTACAAGCGGTGTTTGCAGCCAACTCGCCTTACCATGGCCCCGGCTACACACGCTCAACGTCTGTACGCGTCCGTTCTGCAGGTCAAGAGCAAGAACAAGGAGGTACAGCTGCACAAGGATTCGCCGCTTGGAGACACGGTTCTTGAGTGCTACGCTTCCGGCAGTCGCAACCTGTTTGTGCTTGGCTTCGTGCCGGTGAAAAGCGAGAACACGGTGGTGCTACTAGCACGTGACACGCCGCCCAATCACCCCACTATTCGCGACCTGAACCTGGACCTGTCCCAGTGGCAGCCTATTGTGGAGGACCGCGGGCTGGTGCCGTGGCTCGTCAAACAGCCCGGCGAGCAGGAGCTGCTTCGCGCCAGGCACCTCACGCTGGCGCAGGTTCGTTCCTGGCAATACACCACATGGTATACACTTGGTGGGGTTCATAGGAGATCATAGTCGGCGGTGCAACATGTTCCACCGGCTGTTCGGTCCTTGCGTCCTTATTGGGGCTTCTCGACGGTGTTGCGGATGTTCACACTATACGTGTCTGTGGTGTTGCAGGTGTTGGTAGGCAATCGCAGCGTGATGCTGGTGAAGGGCAGTGTGTAGCTTCCCTGTTGGCTGTGTCCCTAACCTCGCCTGGTGCACGTAGGTGAACAAGCTCGAGGAGCTGTGGAAGACGCGCCCCAACGCAGGCGTTGACGACCTGGACGAAGCTTCGGGTGGCGATGACGGCGCTGTGCAGCCGGTGGCGCTCAAGTACGAGGATTCAGCGCAATACCAGGTGCGCGCAGAGCCGTGCCGCATGCGCTTGGTGCATGGCGTATCTCTGCGTGTCTGTATGTTAGTATGTATGTGTGTATGCCAGGCGAGGGTGCTAGCAAAAACTGCTGGGCGCGGTTTTCCGCAGATGCGGACGGGTCACTCCGTATTGCCCCTGCTATGCCTTCTGCGTGCATTTCATTTCCGATTGCAGGCAGTGTTCGAGCCGCTGGTGAAGTTGGAGGCCGATTACGACCGCGCCATAAAAGAGAGCCAGTCGCGTGATGACATCTCTCTTCGCTGGGACTGGGGCCTTAACAACAAGCGGGTGGCGTATTTTTACTTTCCTCGTGATGATAATGAACTCAAGCTCATGCAGGTGTGCCCTATGCTTGCGTAGAGTTTGCGGAGTGCGCCTGCATGGAAGAGTCCGCAAGGCCACGTCGTGCCGCTGCAATTTTTTTTGTCTGCAATTGGCCTTCGCCAATTAGTGCTCAAGGTACTTCGCGATGCGCTGGGGTTGCAGTAGTGACTTTGGCCATACCGGCATCCCGCCGGCATCGGGTGTGCAGGGCGACGAGCTCAAGCTGCGACACAAGAATGCGGGCAATCGCGGTCCGTGGGAGGCGCTGGGGCACGTGCTGACGTATCAGCAGAGCGAGGAGGTCTGCCTTGAGCTCTTTGCAAATGTGAGTTAGCGCGGGATGATATGCTTTTAGGTGCGGTGCGCTGTGGATACGTGAAGTGTGATGTGTCCAGGTTTTGAAGGGCTGCTTCATGGGTTTCCCTGTGCCGATGGAAGGTTGCGCGGGCTACCGAGGGCGCACGTTGCGTCTAGGTTGCGTACAAGCTCAAGTTTGCCTGAACCTGCAATTGTTACTGCGGAACTTGACGAAGCCCCAGGGACTTGACAAGGTCCTGCGTTTTGGGTTCTGCACTAGCTATGTGGTGGCCTGCCGTTTGCTTGCTATCTGGATTCCGGCTTGAGTAATCACACTGTAGTCACTTGACGAGACTCGTCCACACGGCAGACCCGTCCCAATACAGACATTGCCTACGTACGTGGACGTGGCGGCGACTCCTTCGGAACCTCCGCCTCCCGTGCGCTTCAGTTTCCTCATCGTTATGGCCATCGTGCGATGGGTCGCCTCTTCTTCCCATCCGCTTATCCCATCCCTTTCAATTTGCTACATATCCCTCGGCGGATTCGGTTCTGGGCTTTTGACCTCCGTTGCTGATGTGCGATGCAGAAGTCCCATTCGTTTTCTCCCATCCCTGGCATTCTCCGGCATGATCTGGTGTCTGTGTTCCCTCTGTCTGCTCCCACCGCACTAACGGGCAACCGTGGCACAGGACGTACCCGAGGACTGCACGGTGGGCTATTCGGTGGACTTCGTCTGGCGGGGCACCTCCTACGACCGGATGCGGAACGCATTGAACACCTTCCGCAAGTATTCAGCTTCCATTTCAGGTGCGTAACCCAGGAGCATTGGCGCTGCAGTGGGCAGCAGCCAGAAGAGAGGCTTATGCTGTCGCTTCGCCCGCGAGAGGGGTGTTTACAAGATCTGCACGCTCTGCAAGGTGCACGCTCTGCACAGTGTTTGCGGCGGTTCGTGTGTCCGCATTTCATACACGTGTTGCTGCCACCAAATCCGCGCAATGCAGCTTATGTATCGGTATGCTGAAGGACCTGGACTCGTTGATCGTGGCCCAATGCTTTACCGGAAGAGCTCACGCATGCCTTTTCCGCGTACCGTACATGTCCTTACTGCGGCTCTTCCCTCTCCTCCCCCTTCCCTTCGTAGGTTACCTGTACCACCTGATTTTGGGGCACCCTGTGGAGTCGGTGACGTTAAAAATCCCGCTACCCAAGGCGGGTTTCGCGGTGCCCACCCTGCCGGAGCTCAACCATAGCCAGCTGCATGCGGTCAAATCGGTGCTGCATCAGCCGCTGTCGCTCATCCAGGTGCGTTTGGGATGTTAAGCGGGGAGAGGGGGACGAAGCGGGAAGGTGGGGCTGTGCAGTTGCGCCATGGCGTCACCCCGTGAAAGAGATGCTGGATGGCGTGAATGGGGCCGCATCCAGTAAATCCGCGAAGTGTGCCCGGACCCGTGTACTGAGTTCCGCCGTCTGCCAGGCACGAGAGCCTGGGTGGTTATGGCAATGTCCTCCCCGATCCCCCTCCCGTCCAATCCCGCACTGCTGCAGGGTCCACCTGGCACGGGAAAGACAGTGACCAGCGCAGCCATCGTATACCATCTCGCCCACTCGGGCACGGGGCAGGTGCTCGTGGCGGCGCCATCTAACGTGGCAGTGGACCAGCTGGCACATAAGGTACCTGGACGGGGGAGAGGGGGCTGGGAAAGGCCCAATAACAGGACTCGAACGATTTGTACAACTGCGCGGCTCCATGGCTGCTTTTGGTGCTGTGGGCTGTATTGACTAGACGACTCCTCAGAGCATGGGTGGGGGCCCGAGCAAGGGGCTAGGCTTGCGCGTATTGTGTGTAACTCGCTGCGTGAGGCGGCTGGCCTCCCGTCTAATGCCCTTTCCCTTGGACGTTTGGTACTTCTTTCTTTGAACTTTTTATGTGATTTCTTTCCTCTACATTCCCCTGCATACAGATGGACCAGACCGGCCTCAAAGTGGTGCGCTTGTGCGCCAAGACCCGCGAGGCGGTCGCATCACCCGTGGAGCACCTGACGCTGCATTACCAGGTGGGGTAGGAATCATCGCCCGTGGATCAGGAAGGGTGCAGAGCTGCTCTGGATAAGAGCTAAGATCCTCAAGGACAAATTTCGCATGGGAAACAAAGCCACTTTGCGAAGATGTGAAATGATGCCACGCCATTGCTAAGCTGCAAGCCGTTTGGCGACTTTCTTGGAGCCTGCCATGGTATGGGAATTCCTTGTAGCGCGCTTATGGATGTTTCCTCCCTTCACCTCGCTTCTTCCGGGGACCTCGTCTTGGCGCGCAGGTGACCCACATGGCGGTGCCCGAGGGCGAGCGGCTGCGCAAGCTGCTGGCGCTTCGAGGCGCGCAGGGTGGGCTGAACGCATCGGACGAGAAGGAGCTTAAGAGCTTGCGGCGGCGGCTGGAGATGGAGGTGCTGGAGAACGCAGACGTGGTGTGCACCACGTGCGTGGGCGCGGGTGACCCCCGCCTCGCGAACTTCAGGTTCCAGCATGTGAGTTGGGGGGGAATGACGCTTTACACGAGATGGGTCTCTGTCCCGATCCTTTTGATCCTGGGCGAGAACTCTGGGAACAGGGAGGGTGACCTGAACCTGTGGAACAAATGCCCTGCGGCTGCCATGATTTTTGCAGTTGCATGTGCTTGTTGCCTCCGCGCATGCAGGTGCTGATTGATGAAAGCACCCAAGCTGCGGAGCCCGAGTGCCTCATCCCCATGGTGCTTGGGGCAAAGCAGGTGGGGCCCGTAAGGGGGTTATCATGCGGCTGATTTGTCTCTCAATAGCAACTGGGCGAGGATTGCGGTGGGCTAACCTGGCAGAGCAGGACATGCAGGAAAGAAAGTACCCGTGAAGGCGGAGTTTCCGCAGTAAGGGATTATCATGGCTGTCAAAGATATGGCTGGCTAGACATGATCGTGCTCAGGCTGGCTTGCACGCAAGGCTTTTTTCCTCTTAGCGAGTTGTGTAAGGTGGACTCCTTGCAGTACTGTTGCGTATCCATGTGACCCAACCCAGCTCTCTGCTCCTGTGCACGGTGCGACCCATCGTGCACATGCAAGGTCCCACTTTTCGCTCTTTCTCCGGCTGCAGCTGCCGCACGCAGCCCAATGGGTTTTCCTTCTGCTAGCTAGCCCACATGTCCACAGGTGGAGGACTAGCATGCTTACCGCAAAAGTAAGCGGATGACCCTCACTTCCTTGTCTCCCTGCCATCTGTGATCCTCCAGGTCATCCTGGTGGGTGACCACTGCCAGCTGGGTCCCGTCATCATGTGCAAGAAGGCCGCGGAGGCGGGGCTGTGCCAGTCGCTATTTGAGCGGTTGCGCCTGCTGGGTGTCAAGCCCATCCGGCTGCAGGTCCAGTACCGCATGCATCCCTGCTTGTCGGAGTTCCCCTCCAATACCTTTTACGAGGGCACGCTGCAAAATGGCACGGGCATGGGCGAGCGCCGCCTGGTGGGCGTGGACTTTCCCTGGCACAATCCCGATAAGCCGATGATGTTCTGGGTGCAGCTGGGAGCGGAGGAGATCAGCGCTAGCGGTGAGCGGGAAAGGGTGGGGAGAAGGTGGAGAGACATTGGCATGGTGGGTGTCCCGGATCGGGAAGACGGAAAGGCTGACGACTAACAGGGAAATTCAAAATGCCGTGGCGCGCAATGCCTGCGTTAGCCTCTCTCTTTCCTTTCCTTGATGTCCCTACGTTGCACATACGTTGGTAACCTTTCTCGTGCCCTTCGCCTGCCCCTGGCCCCCAGGCACCTCCTACCTGAACCGGACCGAGGCAGCGGCTGTCGAGAAAGTGGTAACCCGCTTCCTGCAGAACGGCATGTCACCGTCACAGGTGCGGTGGTGTGTCTGCGTCCAACCCTAGCTTTGAAACCGTAAAGCACGTGCACGAGCATAATTTGCAAACGCCACATAAGGAACTTTGACATAAGACGGGTTGGCAAGACAACTCGAGGGTGTTCGCGCGGCCAACAATAGCAGTAGTCAATGCTGACCCTTCTGCAGCGAATGGCTGCGCAGGATCTATAAACTAATAGGACACCGTCCCCTCCCTTACTCTTGGTCCTTTCCTTAATCCTCCCGTCAACGCCCCTAGATTGGCGTCATCACGCCGTACGAGGGCCAGCGCGCACACGTGGTTTCAGTAATGGTGCGCAACGGAGCAGTACGCCAAGATCTGTACAAGGAGATCGAGGTGTGATGCGATAGCGGGTTGGCCAGGTCTATGTTTGCCCGGTCGGTGCTAGTCTGCCCACCTCAAAAGCCTCCACATGGGTGGGGGTGGGTGTGGTTCAGCCCCGCCGTGCATCCACGCCCTGCTTTCCTGCTGGCGGCCTTTCACTTGCACACCCCACACCTTTCCATAGCGCACCTAGCCTGGTTAAACTCTTCTGAGCGTTGATTAGCCTGCGGCCTCCCGGCTTGGGTACCTTCTTCGATAGCCATACCAACGCTCGCTCTTATCATCCTCGTCTCCCCGCTCCGTCTACTATTCCTCAGTCTGTGCCCTTCTGTGTTGACCCTCATCTTTTGGGCCCCCATGTCAGCCAGCAGCGTCGTAGAGCGAACGAGATGTTTCTTAATGGCCCATCTACATCCTGATGTGGGTTCGACATCCTCTTACCAGAGACTCCCTCGCCACCCCTTCTCGCTGCGTTGCCAGGTGTCCAGTGTGGACGCATTCCAGGGACGCGAGAAGGACATCATTGTGCTGTCGTGCGTGCGTTCCAACGAACATTCCTCAATCGGCTTCCTGTCTGACCCGCGCCGCCTCAACGTGGCGCTCACCCGCGCACGCTATGGGCTGGTGGTGCTGGGCAACCCTCGAGTGCTGTCTCGTCAGCCGCTCTGGAACAGCTTGCTGCAGTACTTCAAGGAGAGCGGCTGCCTGGTGGAGGGGCCGCTCACTAACCTGAAGCCCTCTATGGTGCAGCTGCACAAGCCCAAGCGGGTGAGCAACACGCGGATGCAAGGAGTGGACATGGCTTGGGGGACGAGGGATAGGAGGGAAAGCGGGGGCATGGCACAGGAACGTCGGGGTAGGTGGTATTGAGAGGTGGAACAGGGGTTACTGGGGCTGGCTTGATTGTTACGGCGAGAAGATGTCGGATACTGATACAAGCGTTGGGGAAGAGGCTGCTGGGGGAGGGACTGCATGCAACAGTGAAGTCATACAGCTCTCGGTAGCATAACCAGCGCTATGTGGTCGGGGCCTTAGCCTTAATGTGTGTGTTACACCTTGCTTTGCCGCATATGCGGTCATGTCTGCTGTTCCCAACGCGGCAGGTCTTTGACCGCGGGTCTTTTGGCGTCGGCACGCTGACCACGAACCGGTACCAGCCCCCGGAGAAGGTGGGCGACCCACTCCCCAGCAAGGCCACGCCGCCGTCACAGCAACAACAGCAGCAGCCTCAGGCGAGTGGCCTGCAGATGACGGCGACGGGCCAGACCGGGGCCGCGGCATCGGCTAGCGGTGCCGGAGCTGCAGCCAACGGCAGCGGCGGCGGAGGCGCTGGCAGCATGCGGTACTCCGGGCGCGCCACGGGCGGTGCGTCCGGGGCGGCGGCGGTGGCGTCCTCCTCCGGGCGGCTGAACGGCACGGCGGGAACCGGGTTGCTGAGTGTCGGGAAGGGCTCGACGCAGACGTTTATGCCGTTCGCTATGCCGACGTACAGCATCCCAGCGGCGAATGGCCGGGCGAAGGTAAGAAGGGCTGCGTATCGACAGGAGACGGGGCTGAAAAGCCATGGGGTGAGGTGTTCGCCCGTTATCAAACGGATAGGCCGTGGAGGACTGGGGAGAAGGGGTATCACGTCGTTGATGGCCGATATTAGGTGCGGCTGCCCAACGCAGCATATTCCCCCAGGTGTCGCTTGATCAACCACATGTGGGCAACTGGGCATACATACCTCCGTAAGCTTTACGGCCCTGGACACGATCCAGCATCACGCATACTGTTACTTCCGTCTTCGCTTGCACTGCCGTAGATTTGGCTTTGTCCTCAGCCAGATTACAGACCTTAATGCTCGGTGCCTTAGCTCGTCGGCCCTGCTTTCAACCCACTGCAGGGCATCTCCAGCAGCCGACCCGACGCATCCGCTGGTGCCTCCCAGGCCGCAGCTAATCTCTCGCTGCCGGGGCCGCTCTACACGCAGCCGGCCGGAGGCCCCGATAGCGCCACTCAGGACCTGCCTGCCACGCAGCTCGCATCCCAACTGCTGTCGCAGCTGCCCGGTGCTGCCAGCGTTGCCGCCGGCGGCCGCCCGGCTGGCCTGCCGTTCGGCTTCACGGCGGAGTTTAGCCAGACCAGCTACGGACTGGGGGGTGGAGCGGACGACTTCAATAGTCAGATGGATAGCTTTCTGCTTAGCCAAGGCTTCAACGAGACGCAGTTCCTAGACGCGGCGACGGGAGAGTACGGGGGCTTCGGGTCCGCAACACAGGTAGGATGAGTTGTGCGTTTGGTTGTGCATTCGCAAGGCGGGTTTGAGGTTAAGGCGTGTGCCTTCCGCTATTTTTTGCACTCGTGTGTGACAACTGTTGGTCAAGGATTGGATGCAGCTCAGGAGGCGATTATAGCTTTTTGCCTTTCGGTCGTGTCGAACAGGCCTGGCCTTGTGCCCTCGACATAGCCTCATTGTTCGGAACGTTCTGCGCCCTATGCTTTTTCGTTGGATTCGGGCCCTCTTTCTGTGACTCTTGCTGTCGTTCATTTGTGGGCCGTTTTGCAGGACCGGTGAAATGTGTCATAAGATTAAGACAACGGCATGGCGGCGGCAGGTCTGGCATGAGCTTTCTGCAAATGGTTTCTCAAAGCTTTCTTCTGCAGCCGTCCTTCGGCCCGCCACTGCCTGCTCTTTCCTTCACATCCGCACCAGAAGCTTAGCTGCTTGGGTCACCTGGCGAAAGGGGGTGCCCCATGACACCCGAAACGCGACCGCCCAGGTCCCAGCTACTGTTCAGCGAGTACAGGACCATGCCAGTCTTCCTCACGAAGAAGCAGTAAGCGGTTCCCCTGCAGCACGGAGTGCACCCACATGCAGTGCACCCCGCATCGCATCGCGCGCACCGGTAGTGCGTCAGCAAGCAGCGGCGTGTTGCCCACTGGATGTCTCTCCGCCGAGGAGGACCCGTCGGCGTGCGCTCCACTACTTCGGGAAGCGGGGATTGCGTTTATAGCGGCCACATGCGGGTTATGTGGAGCGCGGATATGGCAGTTGCGGTGTCACAACCATCAGCCCCGGAAATGTACATCCGTGCGTCACAGGGTTCCATTAGCATCTTCTGTTACACGCGCGGCCAGGGCCCATGCTGCTTCCGTGCGTCGGCGCAGCAGGCGAGGTGAAGCCTCCTATGGGCTCCTCAATCTGGCCTCCATGCCTCAACCACGGGTACCAGCAACTGCGTCGGAAAACCACTGTCAAAAGCCGCCGTAGCGGCCCCTTGAATGGAGTCGATGGCATCCACAAGGGTGGCAGTGCTATATCCACGCAACGTAACCTGATGTCGCGTAACTGCGTGTATGGCGGTTAAAGCTTCAGCGTCGTCCGAGCTGTCGTGATGTGGCAGCTCCGGCAGCTAGGACTCTCACTGGCCTTGGCGGATCATGGCTGCGCCGCCTGTATGCATTCAGGTGCAGGTGATGCAGCAGGTCCCGGCCATGTGACTCGATATAGAAGTCTCGTCATTGGTTGCAACTAGTGACTACTGCAGCTCTTCCGCTGCTGGTGACTTTGGTGAGTGCCTCCCGGTCTTTTTGTTGAACCGCTTCGGACTGCTCTAATTACCGGTTTGGCCGTTTCAAGCCATCAGATATCAACGCTCCATTGAATTGGGGCCTGGGCATGGATTGAGTGTGTTGTTGACGGTATCGGAAGCTGGGATGGAAGGCCTTCACTGGTGCATGTGTAGGCAGTTGACCTGGCAAAAGTGCGTGGATTTCGGCCTAGTGACAAAGGACCAAGTAGGATGAATGCTGTCCATTTAACAACAGTATGCACAAGTTGCGCGATAAGAGTGAGCAGGAGAGGGGCAGCATGTGTACACATGACGTGCTGCATTTACAGGACAACCTATCCCACATAGCAGAAGGCTGGCTGTTAAAGCGGTTGGCCCCCACATTGTAAAAAAATCCTCTTTGGGCTTTAAAGGTGATGTAATGGCCCTGTAATGGGCCCATGGTTCATACACCATAAAGCAGTGCAGTGCCGACTTGCGCACCTTTTTCCACGGAGCAATAATGCAGCAATAGCAAGCGCAGGGCACACTCAAGATGCAAGCAAACTCTAACAAGCAAGTCCAATACAATTAGCGTCCAAATCCTGCGTCATGTCAGTAGCGACCACCAATTCCGGTGACGTACTAACGTCGATTCCAACATCCAATGACGGGAGTCAACCAAGGGCTGACAGCCACCCCTTGCTGCAAATTTATCGCAAATGCCCTCCCTCTCTTATTTCAGCTTGGTCAGCAGTCAGAGCTCGCCCACAGCAGTCAGCGCTCTGGTACGGACCGTGTTCCTGCATTCTAAATGACCGTGTCACATATATCCCAGCCACCGTAGCACAAATGCCAGTAACAACACGAGCAGCGCCAGGACGAGCCATACATTAGCCCGCGCCCACTCAAGCGCTCGTGCACCAGAAGCGCGCGCACTCTGTACAACGCTGGCCGTCTTCACCATCATGCGCAGCTGTGTGTCGCTCAGGTTGGACATCTGGTGCGCCATCGCTTCAGCCTGGGCGCGGTCCTTGCACATGCCTGAGGACATCATCATGCTTGCCAAAGCCTCTGGGTCCATGTTCTTCATCATGCGGACCGCCGACTCCATCATCTTTGGATCGGACAACATCGATGCCATAGCGGCATCGGAGCTGCCGCCGCCGCCCATAGCGGCCAACCCTGTACCACCGGGGGCGGCGCCACTGCCCATGCCCATATTGGCCGCCATTTCCTGCATGCGGGCGATGTCCTCCGGGCTCATGTTCTTCATCATTTCCCCGGCGGCTGCAGCCATTTCCGGCGAAAAGCCGTCGGCCGCTAACGCCGCCGGCCGGCTAGATGTCCCTGGCCCTGCACCAGCTCCTGCGCCGCCAGCCCCGTGCATCGCAGCTGCCATTTCCTGCATGCGGGCGATATCCTCAGCCGTCATGCCCCTCATCATTTCCGCTGCCATCTTAGCCATTTCTGGCGTCAACTGAACCTTGTCCATGCCAGGTACCATTTTAGACATGGAGGCCAGCTGTTCCGGGCTCATTGCCGCCAGCATCTCTGCCGCCGCCCGAGGGTCCACGGGCGGCACGCCGGCCACAGGTGATGTAACCGCAGCAGCCGGAGCCGGCCGTCCGCTGGCGCTCGCAGCGCCCGCTGCGGCCTCATGCGTCCCTGCTTCACTACTCGCTGCGGTCGCGGTGCTCACTTCAGCCCGCACCTGCTGCTGCTGCTGCATCTTGGACACGGTCTGAATGGCCTCCTGCACCTCCTGCGGCGACATCTGTTTGAAGCTCTCGGCCGCGGCCTTGGCCATCTCCGGCGTAATTGTAACGCCCGGAGGCAGGCCAGCAGCACGGGACATTTCCTGAAGCTTCTCGGGGTCCAACGAGGAAAGCATCTGCAGAGACGCGGGATTGTGGGGCAACAAACCCAGGAAACGAGCTCTGTGCACCGGAACAATCCAGTCTATGCCTACAGCAACAGGAACAGGGATAACTTCCCACGAGACGTGCATATCAGCCACACAACTTCCAGTGCAGGCAATGCTTGCATGGGATCTTGTACGTGCAAGTGTGGTAAAGTGCCTTGCGTGGTGACCTTGACTGGGAAAAGGGCCCTAAGCACGCCTTGGCCAGCGTTGTCCATCCCTAGCCAGTATATATCCTGGGACTCCCCCGACCCCCAACCTGGCCCATGGTAGCGGCCATCTCCGGCTTCTGCGCCATAAGATCCGCCAGCCGCTTCATGTTCTCCGGGTTACGAGCTGCATCCGGGCCCCGCAGGTCCGGCGGCAGTTGGGCCTGGAGTAAGTTGGATGTTGAGGTTGGGTGGCGTGTCGCGTTGTTAATGCAATTCACAATCCATCGGCCAGGTCCATCAAGCTGCTTTTACTTCCATTTTTGGTAAGTTTTGTGAGATAAATTTACTTTAAAATGGCATTAGCCGCCCTTCTTGCAGCATGGCCCCTGAGGTAATAGTCCCCGGGAAAACAGACGCCTGATACAATATCCCGAGTCCTCAACGACAAGGAGGTCAACTACACAACAGCATTAATGAGCCAAGGAAAAGACGATAGGTGTGACACACCTGGCGGGACCCGCACCCCATGCCTGTCCAGCGGACCTGTCACAAACGATTGAAGCTGGAAGTTCCTTCCTTCCTTCCTCACTCCATTCCAGGCACAATCCTATTTTCAACGGCCTCCTTCGACCAAATGCATGAATTTCCCCAGCACCAAACATCAAGCGGTAGCCTTCCCCTGTCAGCGCACGCTCTCAGTCTGCAGCAACTCGGCGCGGCACGGCACTCCCTGTCCAGTCCTTCCCTGTCCAGTAGAAGGCGCACCTGCATTTGCGCCACCTTGGCCATGACCTCGGGGTCCATGTTCCCAAGGCCGCTACGAAGGACCCCAGGATCCACATCCATGCCCATCTGGCGGGCCATAGCTCGAAGATTTTCATCGCTCATTCCGCGCATCATGTCTTGAGCCTGGTGCATCATGCACAACGAGGGGCCAGGAGTGCATCAGGGTGCCGAGTAGTGCAGTGCCAAGGACGTGAAGAGTGTTGGACGTAGATGGATGTGCATAGACGTGAGATGTGTACGACGAATGCACGGCACCTGTTTAAGCATCTCTGGGTTGGACCGCAACATCTCAGTTGCCTTAGAAAGCATCTCCGGGGCTGGAGAAGGACGGTCGCTGCTGCTGCTGCTGCCGCTGCCTGACACCGGCGTCAGCCCCGCAGCAGCGGCCGAACCAGATGTCGACGCAGCTGGTGCCGCAGCGGCCGCTGCAGCCGACTGACTGGGCTCCACGCTAGCGGCGCCCGCCACCGCTGCGGGCTTGGCCGCTGCGGCCGGCAGCTTTCCGGCGGCCCTCAATGCACCAATTTGGTCTTTAGCTTCCTGGAGCTTTTCCCGGATTGGCTGCGCTTGCGAGGGGTCCGTCTCCAAGGCCAGCCGCAGCGCCCGTTCCAAGTCAGCTGCTGCATTGACGCAATCCCCGGATCCCAGATACGCCTGGCCACGTCGGTACAATGCCTTCAAGTTATGAGGCTCGCCTGGTAGTGGGCCGGGAAGGGTGTGTCCATGCTTGTCAGTCCTAAGCTTGCCTCAGGTGGTTGCTTCTCATGCTGGTTCCCGTATGGACGTACACGTTACTCAATGGACCCATCTACGGTGCTTCTGGTTTCCTCTCTCACCTGACAGGACCTGATTGCATTGCTCCAAGCATTTGTCAAATTGCTTGAGGTTCAGGTAACAGCTGCTGAGGTTCAAGGTGCACGCGCGCACCAGGTCCTTCGCTTCCTTGCTTGTGAAGGACTCCACGTTGGACTTGGCCCGCTCGTACTTCTCCACCGCTTCCTTGTATGCGCCACGCCCGTGCAGCTGGTTGCCTTCGTTCTTTAACTGAGTGCTGGCCTGCGCCAAGCGACCACATGCAGGCAGGGATGCCATAATGCATCAGCCGCAATTCAGCGCGGGTCCATCTTACGTTCACTACGTCCCTTACGGGGGCATTGCTGGTCCCGCTAGCAAAGCGGGCGTGCAAGACTGGGAAGGGAAGCACCTGTGACCCCTCCCCTCCTATCTTTCTCAGCTCCGCAGATGGTAGGCCCCTCCCGCCCATGTTTTGCCTATGGACCCACATTCAGAACGTACTGCGTACGGCCAGCCACTTGCGCTTGCGCCTGCGCAGCTTGGCTAGCAAGGGTATCGGGATCCATGGACGACAACTGATGTTTGGCACGCTCCCAGTCCTCCGGCTTCATGTCTTTCATTTGAGCCATCGCTTGATTCATCGCGTCCGGAGGCATGTTCCGCATCATGGCTTGGAGCTGCTCCGGGCTCATCTTGCGCTGAAATCGCGGGTCATATCAGTAACCGGGCTGGGTGAGCACATACAGACGGCAGCTGTTTTTCAAGTTCCAGTTTCTTCCATCCACTTGCCACTAACCATTTGTTCCATCGCGAGTTTCATCATATTTGAGTCCATCTTCCCCCTCACTCAACCGCCAGGCGGCGCGTTTCACAGGCGCACCTAGCCCTGAAACGTTCTCGCTATTCAGGTGAAACTTTTGCAGATGAAAAGTTGATTCAAGTACAAAACCTATATATGCATGCAGTTGATAAACCAGCTTCAAATGAGCCAGAGCCAAAACGGGGATATCGAGCTGGATGACAAAGCTTCCTTATGCAGTTCAATTCTACGTTGGAAGTTGCAACATGCAAGGAGTCGCCGTTGGATCTGTCCGTTGTCGTCCGTTCGGACGTTGAGTGTATGATGAAGAACATCCATCGAGCGTATATAGCTTCCAAACACATCCAACCGCGTATTTATAAAGACGGAAACTTGGGGTCGAATAACCACTGCGCATAGGACAGTGTGCGCATCAATAGCCTGCGTTTCATGAAGAGAAACCCATCAGCACAATGATGCTTAAAAGCCGACTCCATTGCTTTGGTGCTCGGCAGCCACGTCTTCGAACCGTGGGCCGACTAACTCCGTGCCGGGTGGCTTCTACAACCCCGCCGCCATCAAAGTCAGCCGCATTCGATGATTTCGTCGATTACATCTTGGTGCTTCAGAAGGACATCCTTAAATCCGCTGAAGTCAGTAGGGAGCCCCTATCCTGGCGACCTGCCTGGTCCCAACGGTCAATTACGTAATACGTGCGCTTGCGGTCCAGGATCTGGAGATTACCCGCGGCCGGCAGTTTGTCATCGACCGCTGGGAGCGCGATGCCGCCAATCCCAACGCTGGTGCGTGTTTCGGAGCACGACGGAATGTGGACAAGTAGGAGCAGTCATAGCAGCTGTAGCAACGTCTTTGTGCTGCACGGTCCGTTTCCTGGCTTTTGGCTTTTTGGTTTTTGCGTCCAGGCTTTGACAGAGATATTTGTATTCCTCAGCCCTCAATTCAAGTCCCGACTGTCAGTCAGCCCTCGTAAAGTTATAAATATGGGGACGCGAGACCGGAACGGCGCTGATAACGGAGCTAAGGCCTTAAATCCCATCGCACAGGGTCCGCTGTACAGTCACAAGCCGGCCACGATTTGGATTGTTGGTTGGTTCCTATGTTTCCTTCCTTCGCATTGGCCAACTCAGCTAAGACCGAATTCCTCATGTCGCTTTAGCCACCGGCCTGCGTCCTGTAGTCTCTGAGGGATGTCAACGATGTAGCTGCGGGCCATGTACCACTCAGTCTCTCGTCCCGTTCCGACGTGCAACCTCATACACCAGGCTACCGACCAACGGTTGCACCGAGAGCTCGAGACCGCTTTCCAGACGTTTCCAGTGCTCTACCGAGCACCGCTGCTGCCCAATCCGACCGCCTCAGCTGGCCCCCCCTCTGAAAGGAGGCCCCTCTTAGACCCCATATGATCCGCTCGTCAGGCCCCTTCCGGACGTCATGCTCTGCCATCCCATAAACTGTTCACCCCCGACCCTCCCTGTACGGACCGAACGATTGCCGTGTGGGTACGGCAGGATACGGCATCACGTGCGTGCTGGACGACGGGGAGGTGCTGGAGAAGGCCGCTGCCAACATCAGTGTGGTGCGCGGGACCCTGTCGGCGCAGCGCGCACAAGCGATGAGCTCGCGGGGCCGCGGTAGCATTGACCCGCGGGGCGGTCAGCCCTATGCGGCGGCTGCGATGTCACTGGTGTTCCATAGTGCGCATCCGCTCATCCCAACCCTGCGTGCCGATGTGAGGCTATTCCAGGTAGGGCTCCCTAGCGCGGCCGTGGGAACGCCAAGAGGTGGAGTCTGCATTCATATACACACAAGAGGAGCTGACCTGTATGTCTGTATGTGTGCCTGTGCATGCGTGCATGTCTGCATGTTTGTATGAATGTCCACGGGTCGCCAGGAACACCACACCCAGGGCCAGAGCTGTGACCTGCCCCCTCTGGCGGGTGGCCGGCCGTCGTGGTGCCCCGCCACGCCCGGTACCCACGCAGGCCGCGTATTGCAGGCGGCCACAGTCGCAAAAGCATGGCGCATGTGCGCATTGCCCCGCTTCCTTTCTCGCGGCCGGCTGGCACACAGGTGGGAGGGGAAGCCTGGTACGGCGGCGGCTGTGACCTGACACCTAGCTACTTGGACGAGCAGGACACGAGAGAATTTCATCGCTTCTGGAAAGATGTTTGCGACGAATACAAACCGGAACTGTACGGCGATCTAAAGGACTGGTGTGACAGGTAGGAATCCCGAATTGCTTACTGGCGGGTGTGCACGAGGAAGAACGTAGTTTGAACGGCGCGCAGTCATTCAAAAGCCCATGGTTCACCGCTTTTTTGCTTACATGCCCAAGGCGCGGGTGTTTCAGGGAGGTGAGATCATGGAATGCTAGGCAGGACATTTCAAACTTTTCGTCGCCTGTCGATGTGTTGGTGCATCGCATTTGTGCAGAGGGGCTCGGTTTCCGTGGGGATCGTTTGCTTAGCGCCCACGGCTGTGTATGTGTATCCCATGTCAGGTACTTTTACATTCCGGCACGCAAGGAGCATCGCGGCGTTGGGGGAATATTTTTTGACGACCTGAGCAGCAACGAGGCGGGCTTCGACGTGGAAACGTTTGTGCGCAAAGTTGGCGACGGCATTCTGCCCAGCTGGTTGCCCATTGTGGCGCGACACCGTGGCGAGCCCTTCTCGGACTCGCAGCGGCAGTGGCAGCTGCTGCGCCGCGGCCGCTACATCGGTGAGGCCCCATGCGACCAGGCCGGAGGGGATGGCGCCTGCCTTCGATGCGAAACCCATGCACTGCACGACTGTCGAGCGAGGCCTTTCAAGTCGCCACCATGAATGAAGCATGTTTGCCCTTGACTCCTCACCTCTGGCAAGGCCCGGTCGCTGGTACCCGCATTCCTCGCACCTGCAGCGGCTCCGACAGCGATGCATGCAGACACACAAGTTGAGGGATGCGATGGCAACCGGGATCTCTTTGCGCCGCACCTGGACACCATGTTGGAACCCAGCAAGGACGCAGTTCCAATGTGCGGCCCCAGACCGTCTGTAGTCCCCTGCCGCCGCATTACTGGATTTACAATAGGATAGCGCCTCGCCCCATCCTTGCGAAATGATGCCCCCATCTGCGCCTGCAGAATTCAACCTGCTGTACGATCGCGGCATCAAATTTGGGCTCGATGGCGGCCGTATCGAAAGTATTATGGTTTCGGCGCCGCCTCTTATTGCTTGGAAGTACAACGTGGTTCCGGAGGCCGGAAGCCCTGAGGACGAGGTCCTCAAGGTGCTGCAAAAACCACGTGCTTGGCATTAGGCTGACCGGAACCGTGTGGGGGCTCCCAGCGGAATGCCGGGGGGCCGTGGGCGCGGGACCCAACCAACCATCTTCTCATGCATTGTGCACGGTGGCTGATACCGGTCAAGTAGGTAATAGGGTCGGCGTTGATAAACTGTAGGGCCATGGCTGACGAATAGACCAGTCGCGGTAGACCCGAAGGGGTCAGGAAAAGTCACGTGCCAGGGGTAGGCGACGTCCTGCGATTTGCATGCCGGTCTGTATCACTGTGGAGCTGCTCGTTGGCTTAATGCAAGGCACCTCCTTCTAGCGCTCCCAATATGTGCCTTGTGGGCTGCTGTCCTAGTATCAAGTCAGCGGGGTTCGTTGCGTCAGTGGAACGACTGACCCTCCTGCTTGGAAGGAGGAGTGGGGGAAGGGTGGCGCGTCATGAAGCGCCTGCTTGGTGCTGGGTGGCGCTTCCTGCCTTGCATGGTAGCCGATGGAAAGGGCGTGTTGCACCAGCCTGCTAATACGGTGGACGGCCTGTTGCTGCGAGGAGCATGACTGCATGACGTACAGTTCAAATGCGCTCGGAGGAGTGTTGCGCTAAGAAATGTTTCGTGCTGTGCTGAAAATTGCTGTGCATGCCGCCAGTGACAGCAGCTACTACGTTGTCGTGCCTGCCGTTAGGCCGGCCGGCAGGCTGGCGGCAATCGTACAAATATATGATGCGAGAGCGGAGCACACCAGACTACCAGGGACACGAACAAACACTTTAGCAAAACATGGGCGGGTTTCGTATGTGCATGAATTATGCATGCTCATTACGCTGCTCACCGCCATGCCTAAACTTATGGAAAGGATCGTTCTGGATATGGCATCCCTTATGCAGCAGTGGAACGACATCTGCCCATCACGTCACCCTGCCTCGCAGCTCGGCTCCCTCGCAGACAGACACAAGGTTGGCAGCAAGAAAATGTCTATCCATGCCACTATGCTATGCCTGATGACATCGTGTACCGGTTACCCTAGTGGTGGGTCAAGAGCGTGTTCTATCTCCTCGCCAAGCTCCGTGAATTTCTTGCACAACCCAAGTGGCCGCCGGTGGTGGAATCGCATCAAACCATTAACCCAAACTCCCGAGTTGCAGAGGTATGTGCCCCCGGAATGTTTGGATCCCAGTTGGCGAATAGTCAACTGATCAATCCGCCTCCATCACCATGGCGACTCTCACCCACGGGGCCCGCACCTACACCCAATCCACCACTGACCTAAGAGCCATTCCCAAACAGAATACCCTCGTACTGCAATGCACAACGCGCTGCAATGCCTGGCACTGCATTTCGCAGCCATCCCCTGAGCTCACACGTAGTCTTCAACTAACCCTGGTGAAGATTAACCACCCTGTAACAACATCAACTAACCCGTCTACATGTTAACAGGCCCGCGGCGCCGCCTGCTCTCATCCCCCATTGCGGCATAACAGTAGCTGGTGGTGCATCCTCGAGAGACCCAGTGACCGCGGACCCCCCGGCGTTCCTCGTGTGTCGCCCGCATCGTGCTATGCTGAGACATACACACACACACACACACACACACACGCCCTCATCCCAAGCACTGCGGCGGCATAAAAACCTCACTAGTCCCGCCAGTCGGCAGCTGTGGGCTGGCCAGTATTTCCTCCGCCCGCTTTCTTGGCGTCCTTGACCTCCTGCACAGATCTGCAGGACCAGGCAAAAAGGCTCGTTGGGAGCAGCGGCGACCGGCACACATTTGACGCCTACACGTGCTATTGCACTACGCTGTTTCCCTCACAAGTAGACACCCAAGACGGCATACTGCGACTTGGGGTCTTCAAGCTTGGCAGCTGGTCCGGGAGTGTGTTCTTGCTTCTGTTGCTTGTTAGGCTACAGGTAGTTACCAGGCCGCTTGGCCCCCCCTGCCCAGCGCCGCGCCCTCTGTACAACCCGCAGCTTTTACTTGCCTGTAGGCAGCCTTCCCGACTGCGCTCTGCTCAAACTGCTTTTGCCTCTGCTCTGCCTGCGGGGCATCCGGTGTGTGCAGCAGTACTAAATATTAGGAACAGCCAAGCTCCTGTAAGCTTTAGGTGTGCTCACCCGTTCCGCCGCTAAGAGGCGGGCCGCCCGGTCCTTCTCGGTCTCACCAGATCCACCTTGTGCGCTCCTTGGGTACCGGGGCACCGAGAACCAAAGGGGTGTTGCAAAACGTCAGGCGCTTGAAATCTAGCGCATGACATATCGCATTGTACCCTTACCCCTGAAAAGTTGCGTACCCGCCTTGTCCTCCTTTGTTGGGCTTGTCTCCCTCGCAGCAACCACAACAATTGCCCATAATAATTGTGAAGCTTTCAGGCCCTGCTCATCCAATGTAAAATTTACATAAAGGGCTTAAAGTGTTTCTAAATGATGCAGTGGAACCTGCCTGAAATGAACAGTGAGGCCTTGACAACACTACGCGATTTGCGTTCCCGACCAGCGCACAGAGCTTGTCAGCTTCCCCCAAAGCCTGCAGTCCTGCTTTTGGTTTCAGTTTTTAGTTGGGAACTGCCAAACTCTTGTGTCCCCGTACTTTGTACGGAACTGGACGAAATCTAAGACCACCGGGGCTTCTATGGGTGTCGCCACTGCATGAACTTTAACATAGAGAGCTTTACATCACAACACTAGACCCGAATATTGCTTGCATCGCAAAAAATATTGCTTTATTATTTTTCCAGTTCTAATTCCTTACTCTCAGCCCCTAGGGTGTTTTAAGGTTCGTCGTTTAAGGTGCTATTGTTGATCAAGTGTAAGACGTTTTGGCTGCTGTGGGTCCTGTCACTGCCATGCCGCCCCAGCCCCCGCCACGCTTGGGGTGAGTGATGATGGGTGCCCCACAAAGTATGTCAAATAACATCAAATGATGAATATTGAACGGCCTGCCACTTACGCAGCTACCGCTCTGGCAAGCCAAACTTTGTCGATGAGTCCTTGTTCGGCAGCAAAAAGCCTGAGCGCTCGCAGGTAATACGCTCTTGACGCCGCGGGATCGGTGTGGATTTCGCAGCATGGGCAAAAGTACAATGTTTTCGAACTTTATGCTAAGCTAGGGATGCTTCGTGCCGCGGCCTTCCACAGAGCGCGACTGCCGACGGTAGCTCCTTAAAGCTGACGGCAGCGGCCCGGACAATCAGCCCCAAGGACCGCGACGTCGTGACGCTAACGAAGAACGACTTAACACGCATGCTGAAGCCCTCACCGATTATGACCGCGGAGGACGTCGCGGCTGCCAAGAAGGAGGCCGAGGCAAAGCGCGAGCAGCTGCAGGCGGTGTCGAAGGCGCGCAAGGAGAAGATGCTCAAGCTGGAGGAGGAGGCCAAGAAGCAGGCTCCGCCCACGGAGACGGAGATCCTGCAGCGGCAGCTCAACGACGCGACACGCTCACGCGCTACGCACTTGCTGTTGGAGCAGAAGGACGCCGTCAAGAACATGAACCAGATGATGCTGTACTCGAAATGCGTCACCATCCGCGATGCGCAGATAGAGGAAAAGAAGCAGATGCTGGCCGAGGAGGAGGAGGAGCAGCGGCGGCTGGACCTTATGATGGAAATCGAGCGTGTAAAGGCCCTCGAACAATATGAGGCACGTGAGCGGCAACGGGCAGACGAGCGGCGCCGAGGTGCCGCGGTGCTGAACGAGCAGATTAAAGAACGGGAACGCGAGCGCATCCGGCAAGAGGAGCTGCGAGACCAGGAGCGCGTGCACATGCTCAAGGAGATGGAGCGGCTGAAGGAGGAGGAGATGCAGGCGCAGATTGAGAGGAAGCTGCAGGCCAAGTACCTCATGGAGGAGGTGGCAACGGCGAATTCGGAGCAGATTCGGCGCAAGGAGCAGATGAAGGTCCGCGAGAAAGAAGAGGACATGCGGATTGCCGAGTATCTTCTCCAAAAGGAGTTCCGCGAGCAGGTGAGGAGGGCCAGCCAGCACTTTCGAGTGACAGCCGGCAATTATACACCCAAAGCCAGGCTTGTGGCATTGCGGGTTCGCGCATGCCCTCGCCATGGCCCAGGCTTGCAATGTCTTGGCATGAGGTATCCGTTCCCTTTACTATGTCGTTCCGACATGAGCCACCTGAGCCCGCCATCTGGCCCGGTACCTTGGTGTGCCCTTCTCCTGCAAAGTAATGCGGCCGGTAGATCGGACTCCTCGCTTACAATCCTTTCCATCCACCCGCATGCACCAGGCCCTCGCTGCGGAGAAGGAGCGGATAGCAAAGGAGAAGGAGATGGAGGTGGCACGGTTGCGCGCGATGCAAGAGAGGGCGGCCGACAAGCAGGCGGAGCTGGACGAGCTGCGCGCGCGGCGATACCAGGAGGCCAAGGAGCGCGAGTGGCGCCAAAAGGAGCGGGCATATGCGGAGCGGCAAGCGGCCATGCAGCAGGAGCTGGCGCAGGCCCGCACGGCGCAGCAGGCGGCCAAGATCAAGCAGAAGGCAGAAATGGCGAAGCTCGAGCACGACGAGTTCATGCGTGTGCTGGCGGTCAACCGGCAAAAAGAGTACGAGGAGCTACAGCAGGTGAGCGAGCGAAGGAACGGGCTTTGGGGTGGCGCTACTCAACCTATCCATATCTGAGGCAATACCTACTAAGTCCACGGCGTTTCTTCAGGGTGGCAATGGGTGGGAAGATGCTGGCTGTCATGGTACCGGGTGCCATGGGTAAGGCGTATGGGACGAGTGCTTGACACTTTGCACGGTGTGAAATGCAAAAGCCGTCTTTTCGACGTTCTGAGTTAGTCCGCTATAGGAAGAAAGATGCAGATGCGATGCTGCATGACCCAACCAATCGGCCGCACGCAGGCACACTGCAGGATCGTCCATGCTTCATGCACGGGCAATTCACAGTCCGCGTTCTGCGCATCGCGCTGTATACCTGCCTTACTACGTGTTTATTAGCTTGTGCTCGCATGGTTGTTGTCGTCAAGTCGGCTTTCCATGTTTCCGCTTCTGCAGACGGTTAACTCGATGACCCTCAACGCAAAGTACAAGGAGGAGTTGCTGGCCCAGATCCAGGCTAACGACGAGCGGCGCAAGCGCGAGCGCCAGGCGTACCTGGAGGACGGTGCGCGGCTGCGTGAAGCAGCCGAGAAGGAGAAGCAGCTGCTGACCCAGATAAAAGAACGGAAATTGACCGAGCTTGAACAGGCAGGCGTGCCGGGCAAGTACCGGGCTGAGCTTGAGAAGATGAAGGTTAAGATTTAAGCGCCAGTCAGTGTGGTATTGATGTTTTCGGGAGCTGGTTCTGAGGGATATGCTCTGGGTCAGGTTTTAAAACTAAGGGTGCATGGGTTAAAGCGGGGATGAACACGGGTGCCACATGTGCGTGGCATGTACGGGATTGCATGACTTACAGCGATCAGCAATCACGGTGCAGTACGATTACTATTTGTGCGAATGAATGAGTTGCACTGCGCAGGTAGACAGGCCTAGGTTAGGTACATAGTGGGAGACGCCGCAAATCCTTAGACTCATAGGTAGGCCCTAGGTAGGCACTTACTTCAGTGCAATCGCGGCTAACTTAACGCTGCATGCAGATATTCGTTGTACGCTGTGCTTAGAAGACCAGTGACATGACAGATGTGGGTGTCATTGGGGGGAGACGTACGGGGCGCTGTAATTGCGCTCGCAGCAGGGCCAGTAAGCTTTAGGAGAGGCGGGGCGGACGGGCCAAGAAACTGTAGAACAGGGGCGATGCGGCAATGCACGACGGTCTGGCGCTTCCGTCGCTTGGACACAGCAGCATCGTACTGCTTGGGTACTGCGGCACTTAGCTGTCCGTGTGCTGGGAGGCTTATGGCACTGGTGTTGCGCTAAGCCCCTGGAAATTGACGATGGCTGCCAGACACGCATTGATGCGGATGCGGTCCCGCACTGAACCGACTTGCTTGCGTATCACCGTCGGGGCATAAGAATGGGCTGCATGGCTCACTTGCGGTGGTTTCATCAATAATTTGTACATCCAAACGGTACGGTTTGCCGGTGTGTAGGTGACACACATGATCGTTGAGGTGAGAGCCCGGATGGTGTAACCGTGAAGCGATGTTGCGTTATGTTCCTCTCTAGGAATACTATACCGTTGCTCAACAGGCCGTGGGGAAAAAGGCTAGGACGGCTACGGCAGCAGCGTGGTGTTAACAGCTCAGTGCAGCCATGGGATGCCGGTGGTGCGGGAAATTGACCCTTTCAAGCCGTGCCTGCCAACACTTGCCTGCGTATTATACGCCATATAGGTGTGCTTGGTACAGAACGCATGAAGAAAGACCAGGTCATATGGCTAAAAAAGGAATTGGGCCCTGTGCACGCTGCGGTGTTATAGCAGCTCGCTCAGACGCATTAAAAAATTATTGATTTATCGATGTTCATGTCTCCCAAGCCCAAGCTGAGCCATACGGGAAGCATGGTGACGCTGGTGGCTGCCATGCTGCCGCGTTGCCTCCAAAGCGTCGCACCTGCATCGTAGGCTTTATCAGCTGCACAGCAAGGCTCTGGGCTTTGGATGTACACCTTCATCAGTTCTGGCAAGAGCCTGCTTCCGTTACGGTTTTAACAACTACAGCTACATACTCCCGCGGTATGCGGAAGGCCGGTAGTCTTTGATGGAAAATCATTAAACATGTCAACGTGTAAAGCGAAATACATTCCTTAGGACAGGCTACTTGTCTAGCTGCTATGGACCAAAGAGAGCGTCTAGGACAAGCTTGTCTTACAGCCGGTTTAAAGCTCTCCCATATGATGCAACTGTCATTTTCAGCTAAAAATATTACCAGTAGAGGAAAGGGAGGAAGTGAAAATGAGGTAGTTAGGATTGCGCTTTGAACAATCTAAGCTTCCGGGCACCCTGTTTTGAGTTACAAAGCAACGTACTTGCACGGCCATGTAATCTCCTAAATGAAAACTACACAATGTGATGATGAAATGCTTCGCACTGGCTGCCGTATGCTATCCGTACAAGCTTTCTAAGGCCCTTTTGAAGTTTGCACCGAGCATTCAACACCAAATGTAATCTTACATTATTTCTTCTATCTCTCGGTTCACTACCTTTGCCTCGGCTTTTTGGTGTTCGCCTTATTCCCAATGTCTGTAAGCACGTCTGGCCGGTCGACCGGCGAGGACCTGGATTATGTCACTCCGGAGGACATTGCCATAGTGGGTAACGTTAAGCGGTGCACTATTATACTGTCCACCGGAAGGACCTTGCATGCTTTAACCTATCGCTCTTATCAGCAAGCGAGTGCCACGGCTCCATCACGCTTTGGTTCAATTTCTGTGTGCAGTTTCGCCGGACTCTCTTAGCAAGGCGTTTTCCAGGCCTTCAGGTACGCCTGCCGTGTGCTTGCCTCGGGAGTGCTGCGCGCACATATACTGATGCAGCATTTACTCCGGCAGAGTATGTCCGAGGGCGACCTCATTGCGCTCATAAGGGAAGAGAGGAAGGCAACTGGCCGGAAGCTAGTCGTGCAACCCAAGTCACACCCCAAATCCACTTTCACACCACTGCCACCAAAGAGGGAGCAGCCCCAGCCACGGGTCACGCCGTTCGTTCCCACAAACCCCTTCGAGGCAAAGACGCAGTCTGCCCGGGCAAACACAGAGGTAAGGGCAGGGAATGTCAATGTGTAATCATTGCCTCGTATCTTAAGATTTGCTGAGGACGGATATGCTTCATAACCCTGCAGCGCTTCATTGGTGTGGACACCCCATATGAGTCGCATAGAATGGACTTCAATGACGGGCGGACAACGGATGAGGACCGCCGCGTCGCCCCGTTCGTTCCGACGTGTTCGTCTCAGGTAGGCGCGCATGCGCTTGCGGCCAGCCACCTGCGCAAGCAAAAGCACTTCCCACACTGTGCCGTGCTCTCTGTCCGCGGGTTTGTGCATGCAATGTGCTAGTTCAGCGGGCATGATCGGGGAACGAGGCATTTAGCGCTTGGTGTCGGGGGGGCCTAGGTTTACCAATGTCCGGTCGGGGCACGTGCGATCATTCTGGCTGCTCATTTCCTACTCCTAACTAGGCACAGAGACGGCGGAAAAGGCTGAGGATGAGGTAACGCAAAGCTTCTTACCTAGTTATCGAAGGTCCTGTCCTGCGTACTTGTGTTGATGCGTGTGCATTTCCTTGCAACGCCTGCACGTCAAGTCCTCATCCCCTTTCCTTGCTTGGTACGGTGCTACCAATGCCGTTACCCAGACCTGCGCTGGTTTACACTGGATCAAGTCCTGGGCGTGTTCTCAGGGGCATGGATAGCCACGCTTTGCTGTTGCCAACGGTTGGGCTAAGCTAAAGATGCGCTCCGGCTCGGGCTCAAAAGGCTTCTTCGTCTATGCAATGTAATGCAGGCGAAAGACGCGCTTCAAATCAAGTACTACCTCAACAGCCCCATGGCCACAACGATACCGCTGGGTCAGCCTCAGCCGCAATCGGAGCGGAGTCGGGGGACCTCGCGCGGCGGTTCCAGCACCCGGTCCGGGGCACAACGGAGCTGAGGCCTGAGCGCAGGATGGGACCGGAAACCGCTGTGTTAGTGCAGCAGAACCGAAATGTTGATTGCACTGGAAAAGAGCCAAAGTAAACTGCCTCCTTACAATTAAAACAACTTCTTTTATGTGGCATATAGTGCAGGATTAGACAGAGCCATATATTCATTTCCTGGGAACATTGTTAAAGGAAGGGGATGCAGCGGGGGTCAGGCGGGCAAGGGGCGTGCATGTGCACAGGTGGTGCTGCTGTTTCTTGGTGATGCTGATGTACTGCCGTAGGTTGGTTAGATGTATGCTGGAGCTGAGGATAGGATGTGAGCGTCGTGCTGGGCTTGTCAGGCTGCTAGGCAAGATATGGATAAGGCCCATTGTGACGCGGCTGAAGGTTTGAAGGGCTTAGACACAGTCGTCGCAGTAGGGAGTCGAATCGGCTGCCATGGCAATGTCTTCCAAAGCTTAACTCGTTACAGCTTCAGAGCTCCTTTCAGCCATCTGTCAAGCATTCGAGCTAGCTGCCCAGGGAACTGCCCTTTCAATACAGGCGAGGGCGTGACAGCACTTTCGTGAGTTCCTGCGTCCTCACCTGTTCTACAATCTTGTAACACACGCTGTCTCGTCTGGCCATTGACCCTTGGCCAACAAGAGTGATGGAGGGGATGTTGCTCCAGTCGTGCTAAGTTAGCATAACAGCCTTCACATGCTGTAAGGTCATTAGGATCCTAAGGGGAACCTGAGATGTCCAATGCACGTGCACGGATCGTGTCGTACCGGCGTGCTTCAAGACACCCCATTTTTGGAGATGACATGACCTGCACTGATCTCCCCATGACACGGGTGGGTTTGCGTCGTTCCTGACCTGCCGGTCCTGAGGGCCTACGTCCTTGGCCGGCATTGCGCGCAAGGAGCTCCCAGGGCGCCACTTGGCCGCGGGGCCAAAAAAACCCGGAGGTTTAGATCAAGCATGCCGAACCTCCTATATAGGCTGCTCTCCCCTCAATTTCAGGAAAAAATGATATGCCATTGAAATTTTCATCTGTTACGTGCGATCAGAGGGACGGCACGAGTACGGAAGGTAGTCGTACGTACTAACCGCAGACGCCTCGAGACGCGGCTTCGGCATTGGACAAATTTATTGTCCGTAACTTAACTGTGACCTTTTCGCAATTCTATTTAGGTCTCACATTGATATCTTACCACCTTTGCCACGCTCGCGTATCAGTATTGACTTTCTGTTCGAAAGGACCGCGACTTGGCAATATTAAAATTTCTTACATTAGCTTTATATAACTTACCAGCTTAGATTCCATGGCTAAGGGCCTAACGATCAAAGATGCAATCAAAGTCTTCGAGGAACGGAAAGGTATCGCGGCGACGGAAGCAGAGAAGGTAGGGGGCTATTGAAATAAGAACTTGTGTTCGAAAACCAATGCGGTATGTGCTTATATTGAGCCGGGTGCGGATGGCAGGTGGAGCTGCATGGGATGATTCCGCCGATTGAAAAAATGGACGCCACGCTTTCCACCTTGAAGGCCTGCAAGTGGGTGGCAGAAGGCTTGGATAGTGGGATCCGCGTTCCATGGGGCTCGTGTGACTCGCGAATACCCCACCTGCAGACACCTGGCCCTCTCAACCAACAACATTGAGAAAATTAGCAGCCTTTCAGGAATGGAGAACCTACGGATCTTATCCTTGGGGAGAAATTTAATAAAGAAGATAGAAAACTTGGATGCGGTTGCCGACACCCTGGAGGAGCTGTGGATATCGTACAACCAGATTGCGAGCTTGGTAAGAAGGACCATCTGGACCCAAGGGGCACTGTGCAACGGGACGTCTGAAATTCGGATGCTATTGAGGCATCCGTTTTGTTTCTAACCTTGGCTTGCATGTTGGACGCCGTGTCCCCTGGGCACGCCGTGCCTCCTGGGTGAGGCTACCCAAGGGGACATGCCTGGCGCAATCAAGCACCCCAGGCGAAAGGCCGTGGCAATAAAGACCTATATGGCTATGCCCCCGGGGGGTGCTGTGAGGTGGCGGGCGGGGTCTGATTTGTGGGCCCTCGGGCTCCACTAAGTTCCTGCATCCAGTCCTGGGAGATCAAAGCATACGGGAAAAGACGTCCAGGGAAGATGTGGCTGGGTTCTGTTGCGCTTCATTGCAATCCCTAGCCGAGGCAGTGGCATGGCAATCGTGTCCTGACTTCCTGGTGGAGAGATTCAGGTCCGAGGTTGCCGACTAACGAGCGTCGTATTTGGTATTCGGTTATTGCTGATTTGCAAGTCTTAGGCACGCCTCCATTGACAGGCAGGAGTTAGTTGCATCCTCAGGTGGTTCTTTAGATTAGAAACCGAATCCGTGAGCATCAACCGCAGCTTCCCGTCCTATCACTGCCGTTGCACTCAGTTTGCACGACTCAAAAGAAACGTCCTGGCACGTAGTTGACCGAGGCGGGTCGTCGGGTCGTCATCCCGTGGCTCCGGCCCTCCACTGCTGATGTGCGCAGTCCGGCATCGAAAAGCTGGTCAACCTGCGCGTGCTGTACATCTCCAACAACAAAATCGCCAGCTGGTCGGAGATCGACAAGCTCGCCGTACTGGACAAGTTGGAGGATCTGCTGCTTGCGGGCAACCCTCTGTACAACGACTACAAGGATAACAACTCCACCAGCGAGTATAGGGTTGAGGTGAGGGGGCTGCAGCAGGGGTGCGTATGGGGCCTCGCTGACCCAAGGGCTGGTACAGCAAGAGCCGAACCGGAAACGAAGTCCCCCCGGTGTGTATATGTGTGTGTGTGCTTGTGCTTGTGCTGACTACGGATCTAGTCTGTAGGGTTGGATATGTTGGGAGCACCGGAAGCACTGGAAGCCGCCCCATGGCAAAACTATACGCCAAGCTGAAGGGTAGGGCCCGGTGTGTGTTCATATGTGCGTGTCAGCATTGCCCAAGCCTCGCCACTCAGCGACAGTCGCGAAAGCTGCAGGTCATGCAGCTGGTACATGGTGTAGTACACCATCTGCTCCGGGGGAGGGTCGGGGTCGCGCATGTGGGTAAGGCGACGCGTATACCAAGAGGCGTTGGAGCGGATTCACCTCTCCACCTAGTTTGGGCGGCCTGACACCGACCTCTGCTGATTTGCTGCCCGCAGGTTGTGAAGCGCCTACCCAACCTCAAAAAGCTGGACGGCATGCCGGTGGACGTGGACGAACGAGAGCAGGCCAACAGTCAGCGCGGCGGGTAGTGAATAGCTCCAGTAGCCTCATCAGGTTGCCCACAGTCGTTATGACCGGTGCTTTGGGGGAGTTTGCTGATGAGAGCCCAACCGGACGCTTTAATATCTGAAAGGGGCGCAAAATGCTGCATACTCAGGCTTGGTGTTTTGGAACCCTTAAATGTTCATTAAGATGTGATGGGTTAAAACTCTGCCCCATTACAGCGCATTGACACTGTGATGCAGATCACTGCTTAAAGGGCTTTAAGGGCTGAACGCATGTGTGAAATGTGCAGCAGATGTGAGAAGGCCGAAGGGGGTATGGTAATCGAGGTGTACGGCCGGAAGGTTAGTAACCTGACAGACAGTGTGATGGAGTAGTCGATTGTGCGGGATGTGCAAGGGTTCCTGTCCTTTTGGGTTACCAGAATGGTACTCTCGACACCTTACTGCTTGTATCAACAATAGAACTGGGTGCCAAACGGGGGCGAACGTGTAGGGGTACCTACGTGTCGTGCTTATTGGCTGGATGGATATTGAATCGCCGTCCGGAGGCTTACTATTGCTTGTGGAAGGCAGACATCAGCTTTGTTCTAATGTGCTGCCCTTGTTTGTCTCAAGTACCTTATGTGGAGCTTCATTTGCCACAGTATTATGTAGGTAGTAGGCAAAGATCAGGAAACATACCGCGTACAAGTCCTCCCTTCTCACGCGAATGGGAGTTGTGTGTTGCGCAGAGTTCAACTGTCATTAGTTCGGGTCTCGACAAGGAGAACCGTGCACTGGCAATGAGCTAGTCGCATTGTACCAACCCGGGCACTCGATGGCCGAATCTACATCATAGCAGATAGATAACCCACGACAAAAGTCGGATGGATCTGCTCTTGCGAGATAAAAATGAAAAGAGGAGCCACGGGACGAAGGCCAATGGCAGGTTCAGATGTCATGTCAACCGATTGACCTTTCCCAATTTCTGCAACTGTGATATGAGGACGGCCTATGAAGCTACAGCCATTTCACAGAGCAACCGGAAGCATAATCAGACCAACAGCGCTTTAACGAATTAATATAGGCTCACATGCAATATGTGGGACAGCGCCGCTGCTGACTTCATCTGCACGGCAATAGCAGTGCCTACCTACGACTCTTGCCTGCAATCCAATCTGAAAATCCTTGGTTCTATGTCGTTGGCTAGTTTTTAAAAACCCGAAGAACAAGAGGTCCTGTCACAACACCTCCCTCACTTCTGTGTACGACTTGGTCAATCGACCGGGATGCACGCACCCAGTGCAAAAACCGTGCTCCGATGTGGACCCTCCACCTGTAATCCGCCTTTGCGCCGCAACGAAACCAACCAACGAACCCAACGCAAGCCCTGCAACGACCCAGCAAATGCACGTCCAAGCAGATACAGTTCCAAGCCCAATCACAGATGTCCCAGCTTCACACACATTCCCGCCCAGCAAACGGGCATTCCACCACCACCACCACCGTCAGTTCATCACCCTGCTAAAGTCGGATCGTGACCAACATCACGCCTAGGCTGCAACGCCAAAGCCCTGAGGAGCCCCAATCGATCAATCTACTCCCACTCAATTGTGCCCGGCGGCTTGCTGGTAATGTCGTACACCACCCGGTTTACGGTGCGGACCTTGTTGCATATGCGGTTCGATACGTCGCGCAGGAAAGCCGGCGTGAAGCTGTACCAGTCGGCCGTCATGCCGTCGGCCGAGGTCACTGCACGCAGCGCCACCACATGGCTGTGTGTGCGCTGGTCGCCCTGCACGCCCACGGCCTTGACCGGCAGGAATACTGCAAAAGCCTGCCAAATCTCGTCGTACAGCCCGTACTCACGGATGGTATTGACAAAAATCTCATCGACTTCCCGAAGGGTGTCCAGCTTGCCATCCTCGGTAACATCGCCCAGCACACGCACAGCCAGACCGGGGCCCGGGAAGGGATGTCTCTTGATGAACTGCTCTGGAACGCCAAGCAACCGCCCGACGGCGCGCACCTGCGTACCAAAAAAGCATGGACACGAAAAGACGACGACGAGCGGTGAGCATGCATCCCTATGTGAAGATAAGACATGGGAGGGATTGGTAAGCTTGGGAACTTCCAACGACACGACTGGACTCCCCCGCTTGCGTTGTGGGATTTGAAAGAGAGTTGCTGGGACGTTGGCGAGCACAGAAGCTAGGAGAGAAGCTGCTTCTTGCTGCAACTCCTAAAGACTGTCTATCGGCCCCTGCTGACCCCTCGCCCGGAGTGCCGAAGGGTGTGCTGCTGCCTGCTACAGGCTCCGTAATGCGGGTAGTAACCCTAAGCCGTAACGCACCTCATCCTTAAAAAGTTCCCGGAAGGGCTCGATGAGCGTAAACTGCAGGTCCTTGGGTAGGCCGCCCACGTTATGGTGCGACTTGATGGTGTGGCTGTGTTTCTGTCCGCTGCCCGGAGGGGGACAGGACTCGATGACGTCAGGGTACCTGCACGCGGTGGAGCCGGCAGCCGAACGCATTATTAGAGCAGGCGAGGGGTTTAGGAACAAAGGGAGGCGGTATCTATGATAAAAATTGCTAGTAAGGACGTATGCTAAAATGGAGAGGAGCTATCGTTCGAACCGTGACACATTGTTCCGGAATGCAGGTGCCAAAGGCCCCCTCCTACCGTCCACCCACACACGCACTACACACTAACTCCTACAACTTCTTGAACCAACAACCACCCGCAAGGTCAGGTTCGACTCACAGCGTGCCCTGCACGAGGAACCTGGGCTTCTTGCCCAGCTTCTGCTCCAGCTCTGTGGCGTAGTTTTTGAATACCTCAATGAACTCGGCGCCGATGGCCTTGCGCTTGGCCTCCGGGTCGGTGAGGCCCCGCAGGCGGTCCAACATCACCTTGCTGTGGTCGACACATGTGACGGGCAGGTGCAGGTGGTTGTTGAACGTGTCCATCACGCGCTGTTGCTCCTGTGGGGCGAGATACCACGTGCCACGTGCCGGAGGAGGCGCATGAGAATATAATATAGCTCAGGTTAGGCACTACTGATAAGGCACGGACCATTGCCCCCGGGAGATCCCGGGATCGAGACCTGTCAGGGTCGAAAATCCTTCCGATGGCGGAAGGTAAAGTGCCCCTAGTCGATGGACGGTCGTGACCCGGGGTAAAGTTGACGAGCCGACCAGGAATGGAGTTGGGCCGCCGTCGGTCCGGCAGATTCCGTTGGATGCTGGTGGTGGGTGCGGAACCTAAGCAATCCACTGCGAAGTTGACTTGGGTGACTAGATGAAGGTGCTCCAAAATATCGGGGAATATCAGGGCCGTAGGGGTAGCCACGCCAGGTCCCCATCACCGTCTACCAGCACAACTGCTAAAACACGCGGCACTTACATTGTACCGCAGCAAGCCATTGTCCACAAAGACGCAGTGCAAGCGCTCGCCCAACACCTTGTGCACCAGTGTGGCCGCCACAGTGCTGTCCACACCGCCCGATAGCGCGCAGATTGCGTGCTCCTCCGGACCAACCTGGAGTCAATTTGAAAACCCACCGGCAAAACGAATAACAGCGGGATCAGCAGGACCTGCGGAATAAATCACCCGTTGCCGAGTACTGAAGAGCGTGGGCTGCAGCCACTGACGGCGGACGAATGCAAGAGTCTCAGACTGGACGCAACATGGCGCCTAGGCTGGGCACCCCCCGCGCAAGGGAGCGCCACTGCTACGTATGCCCTGATCTCCTCCCAGGTGGAACAACCAGCCTACATAAGGGCCCAGCAGGAGCGAAGGCGACGCCGCCCCAGCTCCCTCAATCCCTCAGACACACGCATGTCCAAATCAGCTGCCTGACTGACCGAAAGCGCGAGCGAGCGGGCCCAGTCTCAGACTCGCTTGCCCATCGAAGAGGGCCATCAACTGTCTAAGGAGCAACTACAAATAGAGCAATACAGTTCGTGGTCTCCCCTCAGGCAGCATTCATGCAACAAGTGATGCATGGGCATAACCAGGAGTCTAGGTTGGACCCCATCAACTTAGTGAAGCTAGATTGATCACTGTCAGGCCGACTGACCCACCTGCTCAGCGATCTTTTGTAACTGCGTTTCAAGCACCTGGCCCATGTTCCAATTCGCGGGCACTTGCGCGATCCCGATAAGGAAGTGCTTGATCATCTCCATACCGTGCTCCGTGTGCATGACCTCGGGGTGAAACTGGTAGCCGTAGATCTGGCGCTCAGTGTTCTCAATGGCCACAATGGCGCCCTGGCAGGGTAGGCGAAGAGATGGCACAGCCGAGGAAACGGAGGCATGATGGCAACATTGACCACAACATGCAGAAGAGCAATCCTCAACGAAAGACATTGCGGCGGTTGTCCTTGATGAATCAAGGATGAGGTCAACAATGTAATGCTTGCTTGAGTTCAAGTGCAAGTGGAGGTGGAGGGCACAATGAAATGTCAGGTGGGCAGCCTCGGAGCAGGGGCCCATTGAAGACGGAGGGGTAAGGTATCACCTGGTGGCTCTTAGCAACTGCTGTGAAACCCTCCGGCAGTTGAACGGCTTCGTCACCGTGGCTCATCCAGACGTTTACTGTGCTACTGCTGAGGAAGTCAAAGAGTCGTGACGACGCGGCGATGTCCATGGGCATGCGGCCGTACTCGCCACCGTGAGCCGCTGCTTTAACCTCGCCGCCCAGGAGGTGGGTAATCATTTGCATTCCATAGCAGATACCAAGAACGGGAATATTGTTCTCGCCGCAATACTCAAAAAAGCCTTCCGGCACGCGCGGCGAGCCCTCAACGTGCACGGAGTTAGGGCCGCCGGAAAGGATGACCACGCGTGGGCTCACGCTTTTAATGCGATCCTGCAAGTAGCCGAAGCGTAACGTCACTTCACGCTCGTGCCTGAGACCATGCTCGCAGCGGTGCGCACCAACGATGCATCCCCCGGAAAGAGCATAGAAAACATGCACAACTCGCGCACACGACGAGTGATGAGCTGCGTGTACTGGGAGCCGTAATCGAGGATGAGAACCACCGCCTGGTGGGACGCTGTGCCGTTGGCCGTCATGATAGTTGAACAGTATCGGTAAGAAAATTTACACGCGCCGACAGCCTCAAAAAAAGATGGAATTGAAGTTGAACTTAAATGGTTGAGCCAGTTCCTTGCATAATATTATCTGGACGACTGCTTAAGTCCATTCAGTCAGGCGTGGGGGACCTACAAGGTGTCACGATGTACGGCAGCGCATGGCGTGGGCCGACAAAGGCGTGGGCACAGCTTCCGCGAATCAAGATATGATTGCCTTGAGTTCGGTTGCCAGAACATAAGTGCACGTACACTTTGCATGGATTATCATATGTTATCTTCGTTGTTTTCGGTCTGTCCATTTTAAGGTCTCAGCTGTCGTAGGCAGCGAATGCCTGCTACGTTTACAGGATGTGTCTTAAGTGTATCAGTGTGGAGTTGATCGTATCTGCGTTCTGCTGTTTGATAATCCTACCTTTATAGCAACGATGCAGGTAGCCAGGTTCTGCAGTTCAGCGAAGGTTGTCGATGTTCTCTCTGGTACTGTTTATCGGATATATATAGCACTTAACTGTCCTGCCAACTATCCTGCGAGATTTGGACTTGGATATAAACTTTGGAATGAACCAAACGGCTCGATGGAAAAATTGATATTTGGAAGCAGATATTGAAAGTCATATGGCCATGATCCAGGCCAACGTTTCGTGCAATTCCTTGCTGTTTGCCGGATGCAGTATGACATACTGGCTAGGTTTGCTCCATGTCCTGCTAACTGAGACTTAAACGTTATGGTGCATAACAAAATGGTGCATAAGGAAGTTCTATACGAAAGCCAAGTTACACGCAAACCATATTTGTTAGTGGCATCTGAGGAGAACGGCGTCCTTAGCACCTGTTGACAGTGTCGTCGTCATTTCCATTTTAAGTTCAAGGTTTTGCTTTTGTACGTAATACAGCTTGCGGTGTAACATATTGATAAGGAAAAGTACTACAGAGCTTTTGGGCTTTTGTTTGATTCATAATTTGGCCGTCTTCTTCGAATATCCAATGGTCCATTGCCGTGTAGCTTTCTTGGCTCTGATAACACTCGCTTTGAGTGCTTTTGGAGGCTGCGCTGGAGCACCCGAAGCAGCGATCCAAGCCAAAGTGGGCAGCCATGACGACAGCATTGTCTGCTTCGTCATACGCACATATTGGGCCCATGGAGATACCTGGGGGGACAAGTCGCTTAGGAGGATACTTGGCTCCTTACGGAACCAAACCTTGGGCAGGTATGTGTATGTCTCGCAGGAAGGCCCAACTGATCAGGGTATGAAGAAAGACCGATGGAGAAGTACATGGAAGCAAACACAACGACAGCTTGGATAAGTACTCCAGCTTCGCCATGTGGGCTCAGGCGTCAGTCCAGATGCCGTTCAAGGGTTTATGGATACACGATTCTTACCTCATGCTGCATAGTTTCCTGCCCCAGCCATATACCCCCCCCCACCGCGGCCTTGCCCGCATGTTTGCAGTAGACCTGCTTCAAGCCTACCTAGGTCCTCCTATGACCGCATGCTGCCCACTAGAACAGGAATCCAACAGCCCCCCAGGCCACCGCACCCGACCCAGGCGGCCATTGTGTTGGTTTCGGGTAACACCAGGGTTCGATTGCTCCCTTTCCTTTACCCAATGCAGGTGGGAGGCGCTCTTGGTTGTGATGGATAACCGGCCCTTCCCGGAGCTTAGGCGCATAGTGCGAGAACTCAACGACTCCAGGATATGGGTCCAAGCGGAATGGGTGAGCCTTCCGGCACGGTGTGACGCATGTTCCGCATCGCCATGGCACTGGACACGGGCACGGAAAAGAAGCAGCCACTCTAGCCGCAGCAGTCCGGGCCGGCAATACCGCGCCGTTACAGCCGACTGCTGCGGCACGCCGCCTCCGGAGATGGATGGCGGAGTTGGGAAGTTGATGCTCGCTCGCCCGCCTGCCCCAATCGCCCACGTCCGGCCGCAATGCACTCTCACCCTTACGAGCCCACCTCAGTGAGGGCAGATGGTACATGGGACTCGTTGGCATGGACTCACCCCCGCTGCTCCCCAGAACGGGTGGGGTGGGATGGGGTGCTTTGCTATGCCAGCTGACCATGTCTGCTGCTGTTGCTCATCATGCGCGCAACCGCATCCAGACGGTGCATTCCGGAATATGGGGGGGGGCCCCGGGGAGCACCGCTGATATGAGGCCATGCAGGAGTGCGTCTGGCCACTCCCCAGGTTGATGCTGTTGTTTGCCGGCAGCCCGTTTCAGATTGACCTTTTCCTCGTTACCCTGTGTCGCACTTCATTCCCGCTACAACCTTCCTCCATCGGCTGCATGAACCGCGAGCTCCCGCAGCCGCAACTGTGTGATTCAACTCCGCAAGGTCCACGGTGGATTTGAAATGGTCTCCCTGTTGACTGTGGACGCGGACATTTTGCCACGGATTTCCTTGTCCCCAACCTGCCCGTCCACTTTGCACCTCATACTCCACAGCACGAGTCTCCCAGACGCCCGCCCTGGCGCTCGTGTTGTCGCTGTCCCGGCTTCGTTATCGGCCCTGCCACCCGACGCCTCTTGCTTGCAGATCAATTTCAAGTACAACCCGAAGGAGAGCGGGTCGTGGTCTCCTGGCTACCACAACAAGCTGTATAACCTCACAGATACCGCCATAAGGGGTGAGGGGACACTGGGCAGCACTGCGCACAACCCACGAGGGAGCAGGGGAAATTGCGGGGGGCGGCCCTGCGGGGGGCCGCTTTGCGCCCCACAGCTTCGCCCTGGACCTCGCTGACCGGACAGTGCAGGAGTGCGATTCAGCGGGTGCCGGGCCCCTGTAACACCACACTCCCGGCCAGGAGGGAAGGATGGGTTAGGGTTTAGGTAACGCCTACGTGTTGTTCAGCGTGAAGGGGTAAAGAGGGTGGTGAAGAAGGGAAGTCTGGGCGTCGGGACGGGTGGCTGCAGACTTCCGCAACGACTATGTTATACGTGCTGACGGCAACGCCGCGGGGGGGGGAAACGTGCTAGGACGTGTTGCAAGCATGTCGTTCAATTCGTGCGACCGAAAGCAGGGCTATAATGCTATGAGAGCAGCGGCTTGCGTCAAACGTTCGGGGAAGTCCCTTCCACCACACGCATGGTGCCTGGGCCTTGGGCCACTGCTAGCCTACAATATCCGCTCCGGAACCCTATATATAATAAAACCTATATTCATAAATCGGCCTTATGGGCCATATCCAGTAAGCACACTTAGGAGTGGGAGGGCTAGAGGACGCTGCGGTTGATAAGGTGAGGCGAGGTGAGGTGAGGTCGGAGAGGCTGTTGAGGAGCGGAGGAGGCAGTTCGGCTAGGTCAGCTGCCCCACCACACCACACCTAAGTGCTGAGCATCGGTGTGCGGCTGCTGCGGCCGCCGCTGCCGATGGCGCTCCTGGTTTGATTCGCTCCGCAGCCTGCCCCGCGAAGTCGTATTGGGTGGTGGCGACCAACGGCGACAACAGCTACGACTCCAAGTTCGTGGAGACGGTGTTCGCTGCGCCGCGGGGTGTGGACGTCGTGGCAGTGAACTTCTACAGCAGATATCAGCGACCGACGGGTGGGTTGGGGTCGGCGAGGAAATGGTGTTTTGAACCGCATGATTGACTGCTGGACTCTGCACGGAACAAGTGCAGGGCAATCCTACGTTCCGTCCTCGTGTAGAGGAGGAAAGGAATTAAGGGGCTGGAAGCGCATTCCTTGGGCTGCAAGATCCGACTGTGTGTTTTGGTCCTGTTTATGCGCTGCAAGTGCTAGAGTGCCGTCTGCTACTGCTACTGCTACTACTGCTACTGCATCCTGGTACTACCATTACTACTACTACTGTATCAGCGCACCTGTACCGCAAGCCGTTGCTCCAAAGCGCATTTGCTCCCTCTCCCCTCTTCATACGAACGAACTTGTGCCGATAACTTCAACAATTACGACCGGGTGTTCGGCCGGTTAATGCGGTCGGGTACACACGTGGCTCGCGCGAAATTTGTGGGCTCCTGCTTGGCGGTGAATACCCGTCGAGCGCGTGTGTAGCGCTGCCCTGTGAGCGCTTCGAGGAGGGCGAGGGAGTTCCTCATTGCAAGGAGAATGAGATGCGCTTCTGCCAGACGGACCTAGCCGCCAGTGCGTACCGCCTGGAGCGGCTGCTGGCGGAAAACCGTCTCTTCGGGGAGCTGGACCCGGGGGGCTCACACGGCGCCAACGATGGCATCATGGCGCAGACTATCCTGACAGCGGGCTGGAAGGTGGGGCTCGGACGGGGGGCTGGATGACAGGGCCCCACAGAACGCGCAATTGAGGAGACGGGAGGCGGCGGCACTTGGGGTGGCGGGGCATGGGATTCGCTGGGCAGCAAAGGAACGCCTGACTGTCCGTGTGTCGGTGTGTCCCGCTTCCTGTTTGCTTCCTGTTTGGGGGCTGTTATGGGTTGCGGGAAGCGGCGCTGCAGCGGCAGTCGGGGGGACTAGGCACCGCTGGCGGGAGGCCCACGGCGAGGCCCGCAGCGGCGGCCTCGGCACCCCAGATCTATCTGGCTCCCGCGCCGCTAGCTTGCTCCTAGCTATCCAGACTACCAGCACCATCCCTTTGCCGTGCAGGTCCACTACGTGCGCGACCGGTGCCTGGTGAACCACTCACCGAGTCCGCAGCAGTGCGCGCTTGCGGGTGGGGTGTGGGACGACAGCATCATGTACCAGGCCACAGGCTTCGGTGGCGCCTGCGTGCACGCAAAGACGGTGTTGGAGCGCATGCGCGTGCACCCCAACGCCTATGAGCTGCTGGAGCTCAACGTCACATTTGACCGGCAGTCCTTCGGCTACGACCAGTACCCCTTCCTGGAGCTTAAATGCCTGCGGCTCGCTGACCAGTCGCAGTGGTTCCGGTTTGAGACGTATGGCCGCGTGTGCGCTGCGCGCGTGGACCGGAAGGACATCCCCGATGACATTCCGCCGCACCCCTGGGACGACTGGGTCCCCAGCTCGGAGGATACTGAGCAGCAGGGGGATGTGGCAGAGGAGGGGGAGGAGGGGGAAGAGCAGTGGCAGCCGGCTGCGGCAAGCAATGAGGATTCGCCAGTGTGGGTCAGCGCTGTGCGAGACGAGTTATGATATAGCTCTGCATCCGTGTTTCGTGCGCATGTATATGATTTTACATAAACCGAGCTGTGAAGCGCGAGTGCATGTGTGAGATGGCGTCATGTTTATATGCCGTATGTGCATCGAGTTGGGCCCTTGTAGGTGGCCGTGTGCTGAGCGGGGTCGGCGACTTTGTAGGGCGTATGTTCCCCAGATCCGTGTGCCTCATTGAGGCCAGCAGCAGCAAGCCTGGAAGGCAGTGGTAGGACAGGAGAGCTGGGGGACTGCGGTACGGCGAGGAGTCGGCCTGGGGCCGAGCCGAACTACTTTCGATTTGAGTATGGAAACCCGGGCGCCGCCTACCTTGCAGAGTTCCCAAGAGCATGTCGGTCGGATCGCGGTTGGTGGTGACGGCTTGATGATAGATAGGTACTAGGGGTTTCCCTGTCCGTTAGGTTTGCTGCCGTTGAGGGGTTCATCTGAGGGGGCCTGCGCTGAAGCTTGCCGCTCTGCTTCCCTTCGGGTTCTCACATAGAAGAGGGGGGCCAGGCTAGGTTGCGTCCCTGGTTCCCCCGCAGTATATTCGCACATGGTACGGTGCTCGTCCCGACACATACGGCTGCGTGCTGCGATTATGAGAAAGGAACACAGAGGCTTGAGAAGAGGCAAACGAGGAAAGGACGGGGCTAAACAGGGGGGGATAGGCGGGGGCAAACATGGATAGGCGGGGGAAGTGGGACGGGCAGGGAATGGATTTGTACGGCATTGACGTGGAGAGTACCGCGGCTGCCTCGGAGGGTTAGCGCGCTTCCCGGGCATTCATTGTGAGCTGTGAGCTGAGGTGTGTCAGCCAGCATATGCCGCCCTGAATCAGGCGTATTAGTGGATGTGGGCCGAATATTCGTATTGCACGACGGCGCTCAGGCGGACTGCTAAACGGTGGCAGCAGTGCTGTCTGAGGAGCTGATACAACTGAGGGGGTGGCTGTGGGTGAGGGAAGGGTGCGAGCGACTCCTCAACTGCTAAACAGGCATGTCGGGGATGCGAAAGCCAGCAGAATATCGTGGCTGCTGTTATAGCGCATGGGCCTTATAAACCACTTTGCAGACCACACTTGCTCAAACCCTCCTTTTCGCAGCACACGCTTCGCAAATCCTGACATGAAAGTTGCGTAGTTCTGTCCCGTCGTGGTTAATCTCCAACAGCGCCCTCCGAAGTTCCACGAGGCTCCTCAATTGCAACACCCGAGGGTGTTTCGCGCCAAGATGCGCAAGGGCGAGAGTCGCAAGCACGTTGACGCGATGGATGTACGTGTTTGTTACATGGTCGGGGTTGCGCAAGCCCCGTATCTGTAAACCTGTCCGTACGAGCCGGGACTCAGAGCTCCCTGCTGCTGTGTAGAGAACCGCACAACACGGAGAAGGCCAAAAGAAACATTGACAGGGGAGACCTATCGTAGCCGGTGAAGGGAACGGCTAAAGGGAGCAACCTGATTTCAAGCAGTGTTGCTTCAACATCACTTCACTCATGCAGCTCACCACCCGACTGGAACCTGCTTACTTCCGTATCCATTCGTACGCGTTCGTACGCACATTATTTTCGTCCTCATTTTGGGTATCCAAATCAAACGAATCCCCTATGGCGTAAGGAAAGCCGCATTCCCTTTTCAAGGAAACTGACAAATTACCTAGTAAGAGGGAAGAGCACGATCGGGTAAAGGGGAAAGATGGGACCTAACTAACCAACCCGGAATTACACCCCTAGGAAAACAACACGCGCATCCCCTAAGCACCCCTGCTCCCCTGACAGAGACAAAAGCGCAAAGCCCACACACAAACAAAGGAATACCAAGGGGGCAAAAGCGAAGAAGGAAAAAACCGCAGGTAGGGAAGCAACTCAGCCTACTCCCCGGTTATGGGACATTATGGGCCCATAACCCGAATCATCTGACAAGGAGACCCTCGGGGATTGGGGTAACCGCAACCCAACTCTTTATGTTACCAGGAAATATAGGTAAGTCCAACTTGGTTGCAAACCCCTTTTTTAAACAACAGCGACTGAGGGTCATTACGCCGAAGTACGCACCGGCTCGATGCGTATGCAGCTGCCCGAGACAGCCGAGGTTTCCCGCATAACGTGATAAGACCACCCGAGAGCCGTGGTAAAATGAGCGAATAGTGAAGCAGCCTGGTCGCACGAAAACAGGGCCGAGGAGATCTACCTGCCGAATGTTACATCCCAAACAGTGGTGAATCTTACCAGAAACATACCGCACTGCTGTAAGTGCACAGCATCCGAGAATGCAATCTTCAATGCGCAATGCCTTGGATGACCTTTTCAACCAACAATCGAACGAACCGGGGGGGGCCATCCTACCGCTTCTTCGTGTATCAGTCGCCCCGTCAAGGTCAATCCCCTCACTTCCGCCTGTGAAACCCAAAACCCCTTTCCGAAATGCAAAGCCCCCGGAAAGGGTTCATAACATTCCCGTCTTCACGCCTTGTTTCCGTACATGTGGGTTTGCAAATGCTTTGCAAGCGATAGACGATATTGTCTGCCGTCACCACCACATATGCCTGGTGCATACGCAGCACCCACATGAGACAACTTATTAACAGTTTTCTAGCCAGAAAACGAGCCCACGCTGCAGTTCGCTGCCGATCATCGTGAGTACAACATAGTAGCATGGGCCCCAAACGGCTGCAGGTGCATAGACCGCACCCCACACTTCACGGACCGAAGCTGGACAACACAAAACTCACTACACAGACGAGAGACAAGCACCTCTGAACCTAACTACTCCGCAAAAACCAGGGGAACCGGGGGGAGATGGCACCCGGGGGGTAAAACAATCGGGAACATCTCTTTGCAGCAACAGGAAGAGAAAGAAATCGACATTGATGCCACTGAGGTGACACTCGACCGGGAAAAATGATTGCCCGCAATGCACATTGCCCCTTCAGATGCACGCGCACAACTTACGGTGTCAACTCGCAAAATGTATATTGACACGGAAAAAGGGGAGCAATTATCTCAGCACACAGCAATCGAGTTCGGCATCATAGGCTTTTCCAACGCGCGTGGGTCATGTACCCCATCATCCCAGGTCAGCCAGCACTTGAAACCAAACTATGAGAGGCACTCCCACCAATACTTCCAAACCACCGCGCGACCAGTTTTGCACCTGAGCCTGCCCATGCAGCTTAGTTCTCACATGGCCCCTTCGCACCTTGGCAAGCACTGAAGTCAATACATCTTCGCAGCAAACATATGTTGCCGATCTCATTACTTCGCAATGCTCTCCCTCCAGTTCCCTGCCCTTGCGCCGGTGTTCGCTGCGGTCCCCTCCGACAGCTTGTTTCCATGCTTGAGTAGCAGGCCTCCATGTAGTTCGTCCGCCTCCACCACGATCGTGTCGTCCTCCACGAACTCACCACGCAGAAGGGCCTTGGCGATATTCGTCTCAAGCTCCCGCTGAACGGCTCGCTTGACGGGACGAGCGCCGTACACTGGGTCATACCCGACAGCGGCCAGGTGTCGTACTGCTGACTCGGTCAGCTGCAGTCCAATCTTCTTCTCGGCCAGTCGCTCCGCCACCCGGCGGGCCTGCAGCCGTACAATGGACGCGATCTGCTCCTGGCTGAGCGGGTCGAAGATGATGAACTCGTCGATGCGGTTCACGAACTCGGGCCGGAAGTGGCTGCGGACCTGCCAGTGAACAAACATACATATGTCCTTAACAAAGAGTATAGTTGAGCACACGGTGAGGGAGCCGCAGGAGAAGCTTAGTTGGAGGAACGAGACACGCAGGCAGATGACTTAAGGAACGTGGCGGAAGCCGACCCAAGCCCACTGATTTCCCCATTGAGCAAGAGTATAGGCGCACAACACAGCACCCCTTTACCTGCGCCATGACGAGGTTCTTGATAGCCGACTTGGCAGCCAGGTCGTCGCCCTCCAGAGCTGAGGCCATCTCCAGGATGTTTGCGGACCCCAGGTTTGACGTCAGGATGATGATGGCGTTCTTGAACGAAACCACTCGGCCCTGCACCGCGATAAGGGGATGGCGGGGTGAAGGACAGCTCACGGCGGGTAAGGGTATAACCTTCTCCTCGTCAGAAGGAAGCGGTGGCAGAGTGACCCTCTCGTGCGGCCCTCTCGCCCTTTCCAGGTCCCTTTCTGGAGCCACGCTCACAGCCACGCTCACACGCACCTGCGAGTCCGTTACCCGTCCGTCATCCAGGATCTGCAGCAGCACATTGAACACGTCCGCATGCGCCTTCTCGACCTCGTCGAACAGGATGACGGCGTACGGTCGCCGCCGCACAGCCTCCGTTAACTGGCCGCCCTCATCATAGCCCACGTAGCCTGGAGCCAGCCGGCATTGCACATGCAACGGAAGCCCATCACGGCATAGGTGGCCAGTAAGCAGGGCTTTCGGAAACTGATGTCGGATAGAACTCCGCACGGACCATTTGCGAGCCCAGCTAGGTGCAAGTCCAAAAACATGACCACGTGACCGGGAGAAGAGTTGGCATCATTTGTCCTTTTGGGACTACGATACGGTTGCAGCATCCCTCTATGTATGCCCTAAAGCAGCGTGGAGTTTGGATTCGAGTAGGGAATGGCATCTGCTCCGCGCTGCATGCCTAGCCAAGGAGGTGTGGAAGCGTACCGAAGCAGTCCCCACCCGGCCACCCACACACACTGCTGTCTGTGTCGCCTACCCGGCGGCGCTCCAATGAGCCGGGACACGCTGTGCTTCTCCATGTACTCGGACATGTCGATACGGACCATGGCGTCCTCCGTGTTGAACAGGAACTGCGCCAGGGCCTTGGCCAGCTCGGTCTTGCCAACACCTGAGGAGGATAGGAGAGCGGGCGGGATGGAGAAATCACACAGGCTTCGGGATTTGCACTCTGTCCCTAGTGCATGGCGGCAATGCCTCGAGCAGGACAGCAGGCAGGTGTCACAACAAGCCCGTCCACCGGCTCCACAGCTCTCCGTATCCCGGTCAGACGGTTTGTCAGCGCCCTGTGTTGGCGCACCCCCCCCGCCACCTGTTGCCTCTCTCTTACCCGTGGGCCCCAGGAACATGAAGGAGGCGATCGGGCGATTGGGGTCCGACAGCCCCGCCCGCGAGCGCTGTATGGCGTCCGCCACCGCCTCCACCGCGCCATCCTGCCCGATGACCCGCTTGTGAAGCTCCTCGGCAAGGTGGAGCAGCTTCTCACGCTCAGACTCGACAAGCTTTGACACGGGAATGCCTGCAGGACACCCATCCAGGGCGACAAACGCCAATGGACAGATTTCAAAGTTTGACGCAAAATGGAGCGCGGGTGATGGGAAAACATGGGTAAGATCCAGGGCGTTGCAATGCACACAGAACGTGCACTGAATGCCATATATAAGAACTTGAACGCTTTATCTGAGAGTGAAACTGTTTCCAACTGACCCCACCGTTAATTAATATCACTCAAAGGCGCAGGAGCTGTTCCATCAGTCCGGATACTTCTGCTCCGCCCTTCGGTATGCAAGTCGCTTGGTTTTAGCCGAACGGAATGGGACGAACCGACAACTGCAGAGCGCTAACCATCGCACCGCCCTTCTTCTCGCGGCCCGGGCCAACATACGTACGTACCCGTCCACTTGGAGATGATCTCAGCGATGTCTTGCTCCGTCACCTCCTCCTTGAGCAACTTGCTGACGCCGCTTGCCGCACCGTTGCCGGACTCCTTCACCTTACGTGCCAAAGCCTCCTCGGCGGCCTTCAGTTGATTTTGCAAGTTGAGCAGGGTGCCGTACTTGAGCTCCGCAGCCCTAGCGGGAGGGAGGGAGGGAGGGAAGAAAACAAGATTTCTCAAGGAAAGGAAAGGAAAGCCACACAACGGGAAAACAACACAACGAGAGCCGCAACGAGGGAATGATACACAGAAACAAAGCGATGCTGCGCCGATAATTGAGCATGTCGCGGGCAACGCGCCGAGCCCCCGAAAACGCGAATTCAGGGTGCTCCACGTCCGTGGGTGCGCACATGCATTGTACCTGTTCAGGTCGTAGTCCCTCTCCGCCTGCGCAATCTCTATGTTTACTCGTTCGATTTCCTCCTTGAGGTCCTGCACTCGGCTCATGTCGGCCTTCTCTCGCTGCCATTGCGCCGTGATGACCTGCTGCTCGGACTTGAGCCGGGACAGCTCCGCGTCCAAGGTGGCCAGTCTGGCGGCAGCGCCGCGGTCGGAGCTGGCGGCCTGGGGACGGCGGACGGGGTTGCCGAAAGCCGAGCAGGCTGAAAATTGCAACAAGGCAAAGCAGGGGCAACCACAGGTGATCCCTATCAAACCCGCTGTAACTTGCATCGGTTTATTAATTTGGCCCGACTCCTTATGGCTGCGGCATGGTGGGCAATCGCGCGCAATCAAAACCCCACTTAACAAAGTACCACGGTCCCATACATTGCCATGGCCACGGGCGCCTCACATGGCGCCGTTCCTATCCACCCTGCCGTACTGCATACCATACACACCTTCTCCAAGCTGAGCCTCTCCATCTCCAGCTGCAACACCTTGCGGTCAATCTCGTCCAGAGCCATCGGCTTGGACGTGATCTCCATCTTCAGCTTGGCCGCCGCCTCGTCCACCAGGTCGATGGCCTTGTCGGGCAAAAAGCGGTCGGCGATGTAGCGGTCGCTCAGCACAGCAGCCTCCACAAGCGCACTGTCGCTGATGCGGACGCCGTGGTGCACTTCGTAACGCTCGCGGAGGCCGCGCAGAATGGACACCGTCTCGGCCACGGTGGGCTGGTCCACGTACACCTGTTTGTTCAGACGAGGCGTGGACAGAACCAGACACGTAAGCAGTCGTGAGCTGCATCCATCCCCCCTGGAGGCCCTCCCCGCTACGTGCCTCAACGCCCGCACCTGCTGGAACCTGCGCTCCAGTGCGGCGTCTTTCTCTATGTACTTGCGATACTCGTCCAGGGTGGTCGCCCCGATGCAGCGAAGCTCTCCGCGAGCCAGCATGGGCTTGAGCAGGTTGGAGGCGTCCATGGAACCCTGCGCAGGCGGGGCGAGGGAGCGAGAGGACGAGATGCGGACGGCAAGGAAAGGGTAGTGCTTAAGAAAGTGCGTGACAGGGCCAAACGGGGTGATGACATCATCAAACGGGACAAGTTGATGATAGGATGATGAGCTTCCGTGCACAATGCACAGTGCACAAGTAAACATGGGCCAAAGCCTACGGCCATATGGCAAGTAAGGCTGCTGAGTAAAGCAAAGCATGCCACACATGCCGCACCTAAGTGACGAAAAGGTGAATGGGGTGAAGGGGCAGCTAGCGAGTGGAGGCGCAACGAGCTTAGGCACTTTGTTGATGCATGCCTACATCGCTCAGCTCCTCAGGAAAACTTCTGCCCCTCACCTCGCCTCGCAATCAACCGCGTGTGCTGGAATGGAATGAAGCTAGAATGGAATGCAAAGACCTTTTGTACTTACGATTACACTTACGATTACACTACGAGGACTTACCTCTGTTGCGCCCGCACCCACAATCGTGTGGATTTCATCGATGAACAATATGATGCGCCCCGCGCTCTCCGTGACCTCGTTAATGACCTGTCGCGACAGAGGGCGACATCGTTGGCTAATGGTGTGCCGACGGACGAGAAGCCACCTTGAGAACACTGTACTACGGCCGGCGGCTGGCGGCAGGCGGCTGGCAGAGGTTAAGGCCTGACTTCTGCTCCCGGAGTGTCCGGGTTCAAATTCGCCTGCCGACTTCTCGGGTGTTTGAGAAGTGTGGAAATGGGAGGTGACCCCCCATCTTATGGACGGTGTAGGACGTGATAATATCAACTTGCGAGCTGACCAGGAACTAAGTTGAGGCGCCGTTGATCCGCTAGATTTGGTTGGATGCTGGTGGTGAGTTGCTGAACCCAACGAATACATTCTGAAGTCGGATGTGGTGAACGGATTAGGGTGCCCCTCTAGCAGGGGAGAGCAGGGAACTGCCTCGGGAAAGGGTGTCGCTGGTGAAGCTTAACCACCCTGTAACGACATACTGTAGCCGCTGTAACTATGGAAAGGAGAGGTGTCCTATGCAAGGGATGTCGCTGGGCCACACTGGCACTGCTACCTGCTATAGCCTAGCTAGTAGCTTCCCTTTGGCCGACGTACCGCCAGGCCGTTCCCCCAGGCCCACTCACCGCCTTGAGTCGGTCCTCGAACTCGCCCCTGTACTTGGCACCGGCAATAAGGGCGCCCATGTCCAGAGCCATGAGACTGCGGCCCTGCAAAAGAGGGTTCCAGGGTCATCATCGGTGGTGGAGGAGTTGAAGGAGGAGTTCGCCCCTGGAGAGGAGTTGGCCACAAAGAGGAAGTTGCTGGAACCGCAACCACGGATTACCAATCAAGAGCTAGACCGTGCAGCTCACAAGCTATACTGGGCTACTACGCTGTGTTCAATCGTAGCGTAGCAAGAACGTGGTGTAATCAAAAGGCTGCTGCAAGGTTGCTTGCCTCCCAGCCTCCGCACCTGCAGAGCGTCGGGCACGTCTCCCGCCACAATACGCTGCGCCAGCCCCTCCACCACTGCCGTCTTGCCCACACCGGGCTCACCGATCAGGACCTGCGCGTACATCAACGGACGCCAGCAGAGACGCGACGCGTTGCTCGTTGTTTGACAGTTGGCGGCGGCCAGCATGTGCCTGTGCCTGCAGCGCAGCGCAGCGACCGCCACTAACACGCACCGGGTTGTTCTTGGTCCTGCGGCTGAGGATCTGGATGGTGCGCCGGATCTCATCATCGCGGCCAATGACGGGGTCCAGCTTCCCGTCCCTCGCGGCGGCGGTCAGGTCGCGAGCATACTTGCTGAGTGCCTCGTACTTGCCCTCCGGGTCCTGGTCCACCACCTTGCTGCTGCCGCGGATGTCCTTGACGGCCTGACGGAACGTACGGCGGGGACCAGGCCACGCGGGCAGAGATGTAAGCCAAGCCTCCGCAGCTGGAAACCTATCCAGGTGCTGAAAGCCGCACATGGAGACTGCACTGGAAGCACGGAGCATTACCCCGATTGAAGGAGGAAAGTCACTCAGGTAGGGCAGAATCAAGGTGCAAGCGCCTGCTCGCCGCTGTGCCGCCGTGTCCTCCCTCGCACCTGCTCAATCTTGTCCTTGCTGAGGCCCTCTGCCTTGAACATGCCCTCGCCGAAGCGGCCGTCATCGGCCATGGCCATCACCATGTGCTCGATGGACACGAACTGATCGCCCCATTTCTTCTGAAGCTCCATGGCCCGATTCACGAGACCCTCCAGGTTGCGTCCTAAAACCTGTTGGGAGCCCGGGGGGAGACGACCCCTGTTGTGTCCTGTGTGTGTTCTTAGCTCTCTCCTAGCCGGGGGGCACGCATATATCTGTTGCAACAGCCAAGAGCCTGCTTGCTGCGGAAGGAGCTGATCTGGGGCAATCGTCGGGGCAGCTGAGAGACCTGGATGTGGCCGAATCCACACCTCATCCGCCTTTCACACCCGTTCGGGATCAAGGCCAGGCCAGGCCGCCTTCCTTACCTGCGCTGAGCCTCCGCTAACCCGAGGCTGTCGCCGGATGAATTCGTCTGTTCGCTCCAGCAGCCGCGTGGGCTCTGAGCCCGCCTTGGCAAGAATGCGGCGCGCCAGACCGTTGGGCTGCTCCAGCATGGCCTTCATGAGGTGCTCAGTCTCCACGATTTGCTGAGAGCACTCCTTGCAGACCTCCGGTGCGGCGACAATGGCCTGCGTGCGCAGGGGAGCGAAGATGCCGTAAATGAATGCGCCACGAAAGGAAGGAAATGGTTCCAGAATGTTTTCGGTGCGGGCCAGTGGGCAGCAGTAGCACAATTGGCAGACTGCTTCATCGTAGTTACCTAGTAGTGCACAGCCCACAGTGTCGCGCGCGGACGGAGCAATCAAACCATCGCAGAGAGTAATAATCATGGCAAAATATTCCACCATCGGCTTGTCACACCTGCCATGCCTTCTCCGTGAACTGGTTTTGGGTGATTCGCTTGCCGCCGCCGCCGCCGCTTCCGGAGTTGCCACCGGCCTGGCTGGCACGTGTGATTACGTGGCTACGGCGACCGGGCCTGCACAGGGATTTGCAGGTGGGGGTAGGGAAGGTCGCATAGGCTACAGCCGCGTGATGGCGCCCCGCCTTGCGCCAATCCTGGATTATCGCCGACACCTTCCCAGCTGCGAACGCTCAAAGTGGCAGTCATTTCCCCCGCATTAGGGCATCCCAAAGGTATATTGCTTCCCCTGCGGTTTGCTACATTGTACGGGGGAAGCCAAGTCCGGTGACAATAGCTATCATTTCATGAAAAAAACGTGTGTATTTAAGCACATCTACAATCCCACCTTTTGCACAAAGTGGAAGCAGCCTTTGCATGCAAGGGCGCGCAAAGAAGCGACTGCCGATTGGAAGGCTGCCCGCCATGGCTAGATACACTCCAGCATCTCCACCCCTGACGGCGTCCGCAGTGTAACTTTGCTAGCACAGTCGATACATTTGTACGTGTCGCCACAGCTTGCTTTTGCATATTACCGTGTCCTGCAGCAAGATAGGTAGCTCTTGACTTTGATCCAATGCAGTAACCCTTATTTGAAATTGGGTCCAATCAGCGCAATATGCATAATTGGAAGAGACCATTGCCCAAGGAATTTTGATCCAACTGGAAGTCCAAGACTTTGGCACGTCCGAAGGCCCAACAACCCTCGATCATTCCTTAAATGCCATACCTGCCAGCATGATAAATCAGTATTGGATCTAAACTATAATGCCTCCTGACGCCTAGAGCAGGTAGAAGTTGATAGGAGTAAACAGATCCAGAGGGGTTAGCCTAATTTCAAGTTAACCTGGAACTGTTTCGTATGAGATGATTGCGATCTAATGTCAATATATTTGTAGGCATAAAGAGCCACCTGACCTTTCGAGGTTGTTCTGGATGAGGTAGACAACACACTGGAGATAATTCCACCTGGGACGATATATGCAACACATAAACACACTTGTAATTGATGTCTACGCCACGCTTCCCTTGCCAACCGTATCGAGCCATTGGCCGCCAACGATATGAGCTCTTATCGACGCGTCGAGGTATCGATACCCAACTACCGATATGCAGCATGAATGGCAAAATTGTGGATATCATACGTTAACAAATTAATGAATATTTGGCGCACGTCCCTTTCGAAACAGTTGCCCTGATTGTCCAACGGAGTTTTTATTGTGGTCCTGCACTGTCTTGCAGCCCCAAGCAGTGTTCCCGCCGCTCCAAAGCTCCATGGTGAGCAAGATTGGGATGGAGCAGGTCAACCAATGTCGAGGCATGGAGCGCCTGGTGCAATGGCCTCGAGCCACACCAGCCGTGATAGGGAGTTCAGATGTCTTAGTAGGAAGTTCAGATGCCGGCATGTCTTCACCCCCTTCGGTGAATCCGGTGGGAAAACCTGTGGCTTGGCTAGGGTGTCAGCACACATCCACCTCACATCGAGCCGCTGAGAGAAGGCAGTTTAACGGTTGCATAAATGAGCAACAAGATCCCCGCCTTGTAGGCCCTAGGGGGTTAACGCTGCCATACTGGTCAGAAAGGCAAGGACTTTTCCTGGCCAACAATCACCGTAAAGCCCCGGCCCAAGGTCTGACACGAACGCTCCGTGGCAGAATGTCCCGGGCCTCTTCACCATGGACTTCCAAACCATTGTACAGTGGCACATCGTGACCAAACACGACTCGCTTCTCCCCTGTTTACAGTCGCTTTGTGAAGCCCGAGGCAAGGTCTTACTCGCGATCACTAAGAGATTGCCCCCATGAGCCACTTGTGATCACACGTTGTTCCCCCGCACGGCGCCTGCTAACACCCCAGTCGCATCATGTGCGGTCGGAGTCGTGTACAACCACTGCTGAGTTAGCAGAGGAGAGTGTTAGTACGTATTCGTGTGCAACAGATTGGTTTGATTTCATAGACTAGAGAGGTTGGGAATTAGGGGGAGCTGGAAGTGGAGCAGGTGCATATGAGCATACATGCATCCGCATCTAGGCACCCACATCTTGGCATCCACATCTAGGCATTCTTGAGGCTTCAGGCGCACATGGCGCCTGTATCAACGGCTACGGGGCATGCACAGCACATGCTTCGACGGCTACCGAGCTTGCATGGCACCCTGGTTTGGCGTGGTAATGACTACGGAACAAGAGCTCTCCTTAAAAGCTCCCGCCAGGCTCAGCCGGCTAAATCCAGCTGAGGTCACCTCAGTCGTGGCAGGCGAGGCCGGGCTGGGTACGGATCCCTGACAACCGTAACGCTAACAGCTAAGGGCGGACCTTGAGAAATGCCGTATGGATCCTCTAATGGTTCTGCTCTGTTGGCGAATGTGCGTCACGAGGGGGAGTACGCTCGCAGGCTCGTCGTCTGTATTTTTTCGGGCATTGTATAGGCGAGATATTCGGGAAAATAGGTGAAAGGTATATAGGCCAGTAAGGTGTACACGTATTATACGAGACTTAAAGGCTTAGGCATAAGAGGCGCATGTGTAAGTGATGGCCTAATATACGATCATTTTTGGCATAGTATTATAAGTACATTTTTACATCATAACCTGTAGCAAGGGATGTTTAGGCTATGCGGTATACAGGTATGTATACACTCGATGTTGTAAACGACATTGCCTATATAGACGCAAGTATACATAATTCCCTATAATAGGACCTGTACAGGCATCGCATAATAGGCTTTTCTTTCGAGTCACCCTTTAGATACACATGTCACTGCCTTAATCGTCCGCGCGACATCCGCATTACCTCTCTTATTGCATCGTTATGGCTTGAGATTGCACACCTTATTACCGTGGCTCGATCCCGGGATCTCTCGTGAATATTGGTCGCGCCTTACCGGTAGTACTTAACGCAGAATGTAAAGTAGGGGTTGTTCTAGCTTTTATACTTAGAACCTAAAGGGCACTCATGAACGTCAGCTGCGTTAGCCTGGCTTGTCGTCCATGCGGCAGCCTCTGGGCAAATGGCCCAACTCCATTTGAGTTTGCTGCTGGCTGCGGCCAAGAAACGTGCAATGCAACCGCCATATGATCCCTAGGTGTAATTGGTTTGCATACAAGTCGACGTAGATACCTCCTGTGACCGCCGTACAGGAAGGAAATTTTCCGGTACGACAACATGTGAGGTCCAGAACCGAACACAAAAGCAGGAATCACCATTCAGAGCGTAAAACGTCGCCGTCCATGACTTATGCATATGAATTCACGTGTTCTCTTCGCGTTTTTCTCCTTCTTCGTAAGGCCAACGCGTCGACCAACGCACATCTTACACCCGTCCGGTCCAGAGCCTCTATAGCAATAATATTGACATAAACATAAAAGTCATTTATGAACATCTGCTACGTTTGCCTAGCATTGTCGTACCGGAGGTTGGGTCGGCAGCAGACCATGAACTTCTCGCCTAGGTAAATACTTAGCGCAGCCAAGAAACATAATTTAGATCTGTTAATTCATCCCATTGGTCTTGGGGTTGCCTTAAAGTCGACGTAGATGCCACCTCCTGTCACCGCCGTATCGGAATGCATTTATCAAGCAAAAGACCCGAAAAGATTATAACCTTGCAGACTCATTTCAGTGCTTTTGGAAAAGAGGTTTAGACCTTGCCACCCCGGCAAGCCAGAAACTAGTTTCGGTCGCAAAACTTTTGTATTTTCAAAGCATACACACGCGTGATACCTAAGAATACGAGAATTATTAACAGTTTAATACTTGTGGAATTTCGTAGGCGTTTGCGGTGCAACTGGCGCGAATAGGTGGTCTTCCTAGCAGGTCTTAATGACGAGGGGTGCCTGACGGCGTTGCATGGACTCCATCGATGCATGTGCCTCGGCATGACGGGTGAATACAAAACGGTTCATATGCACAGACCTCATAGTTTGCAGCATTTTAAGGGAGGTCAAAGGTGTTTCGCACGCAGCAGCTAGTGCAGCTTTGCCCCGAACACTGTATACACGAGTGGCCTACATAAAGGCATACCTTTATACAACGGACTATTAGGCTCTCACAGTTTTGCATGCGTATACATGGTAACCTATAGCCTACAGGCCTATAGACCATGCTGTATACAACAGATCGCCTATAGGTGTGATGTATACGATCATATACGCGAAATCACCTATACTCCACATATTCCGCGGTCCTACCTATTAGGCGATGGCCCGGCCTATAGGTGACTTCCAATTTTACTGACGGTTACACAGATCGGGCTTAGCTGCCCGCCTGTAATATTATTGGTCTTAAGATTGTTGGTCAATACGCTCACGAAGAGTTGCTTCGAGAGCCAAACGACAAAGGTTTGGTCTCTTCACACTCTTCGCACTCACACTTATGGCGCACTTACCCGCACCGGAACGAGGCCCTATCCTAGATGCGCAGCGTTCATCCGACTAACGACAGATGAACAACAACGGAATATCCTAAAACAACAACGGAAAGCACCTTATGAGCTGGTCCAGCGGTGCGCTAAATCTCAACTGACTCAAGACGCGATTCGTCTAACTACCTTCGGTTGGATCAACCACCTGCGAACTCGATCGTGGCACATAATGTGTACGCTTCAGATGTTTTGGCGTGACAGCGACACTCCAGTTGCATCTTGTGCAGCTGGATTCTTGTTCGATCACTGCCATGTCACTAGAGGAGACTGCTTCTAAGTATTCGTGTACGACATGTTAGTTGGCTGGTGGCTGGCAGAATTCACGCCCTGACTTCTGCTCCCGGAGGTTCCGGGTTCAAATCCGCCTGCCAACCTCTCCGAGTGTGAAGGGTGTTGAATTGGGAGGAGGCCCCCCATCTTCTGGACGGTTTAGGACGTGATTATAGCAATGTGCGAGCTGACCAGGAACTAAGTTGTAGCGCCGTTGATCCTCTAGATTTGGTTGGACGCTGGTGGTGAGTTGCTGAACCCAACGAATACATTCTGAAGTCGGAAGGTTTGAATGGATTTGGGTGCCC